TCTACAATGTGTATACAAATGGAACGTATATCCGAACAAATTATTGCACGCACAAAATGTAATGTGACTGTTTACCCTGCCCTCCTTTCCCTCTTCCTTTCTGTACCCACCCTCCCCCCATTATTGCGTTAACAATAAAATGCAAATTTAAAAAAAAAAAAAAAAAGGTGGCATCGATGACCTGAAAATTGCCCTGTGTTGTAAAGGACACATCAGTTATATGGAATATGTTAGCACTGTCTAGTAATAATAATGTTTATATTTTGTAAAACTATATCACCATAAGCAAGAGATATGTCTCCTGATTGGCCACAAAATGAAATATATAATAATGTTAGATTTTATTTTTTTCAATAGCAACCATAAAGAGATGGCATAGATAAGGTTATTAGCCAACAATTGATATAGCTACACCAGTGAATAGAATATAAAACTTATGTAAATGTACCTTTAAGTCTAGATGGACAACATTGTTTCTGTGTAGGTATGAGATGCCTTGAAGAATCTGATGAATCAGCCGGATCACGTCTTTCTCTGTGAAAGCTTCATCTTGGTCTGCTACACACTGATTAAATATTTCTCCACCAGCGGCACTGTTAAATAAATAACAGAAATAAACAAATCTTATTTAAATATTTTTTTCTAACACAATTATATTGGAGCACAGTGTGATACATATGTGTAGGGCCTACAGCACTATGGAATTTATTGGCGCTGTCTAAATAAAAATTATAATTAAGGTTTATATAAAAGTGGGCAAATTTCTGTCAATGACAAGAAGAATATAAAACACACACACAGAATAATTGCATTGATTTTAAAGTGTTGATGAGCCAAAATTACTTTATACAGCAGTGTTTCTAAAAGTGGCTCTCTAAGACCATAACCACTATTGTTCTCTGGAGTGGATGTCGCCAGGAGTCCCTTGGTGATGCCCATATGTTAAGATTAAAACCATTTTTTAAAGGTTTGACACTTATGTGTTGGTCTTCTCACCATCTTTGGATCAGTTGATGCTCACAGCCAATTTATTTAGTCCTAAGGTCTAAATTTATATATCTATATTAGTATGGGAACGTCCTCTATGTTACAAGGTTCATTCATAAAAGTGCCAATTTCTGTTGAAATCTGCACTTTTGATCAAATTGTAAAAAAAAAGAGGACACGCTCTTCACACAAATAATTTCAGCAAGCTAATAGGTGCAGTGTCAATTTAATTAGACTGTTCCCAATATCACAAGTATTTATGTTGCACTAAATTAATGCCCTCACAGTGCACAATATGCCTTTTCCTCATTGGAGACGCGCTATAGTGACATGGGACACGAGTTTAGAACCAGTGTTAAAGGAGAATCACATATCAACTATACATAGTGCTAGCCGAATTGTTTGCTCACATTTTATTATTTCGATTATTTGTGTGCCTTCTGTTTACTCTGCTCTGTATCTTTAACTCTCTATTTTGAAGTCAAGCATCATGCACAATGAAACAATACTATGAAAGTGGAGTACTCAACATTTGTGTTACAAGGCTGCCCATTACACAAATTAGGCAAATGAGAGAAAATAAAAATAAACAAGGAGAAAAAAAAAACTTAGGGGTAGGTCCCGCTGCAGGGTCAATGTTTAACATAACAAATGTAAGCAGAGTACATATCACAATCACACCTTAAAGAATCTTTATAATCCTCTCAAGGGGGTCCATACTTTATGAAATTAAATTAGTGCAGACCATATTGTGCCTGTTAATGTATCCATAAATGTGTTATCATCAAACTTTGTTATTACGGTTTTTAAAGCTGGGATTGAATCTTGGAGCCAGTAAACTGCTAGGGCCCTATTTTTTTCTTATTAAAATTTGTTATAGAAAAAACAAACAAAAAAAAACAAGTTAAAACCCAGGGAGTGAGGAGGGGGGAATGTAACAGATAACATGCCCTAAAGCATTTCAGACACAATTTAAACCCCCAGCTCTAAATGTTTATCCCCTTAGTTTTTTTAGGATTATGGGATCTTCAAATTACAGCTTTAGAAAAATCAAACATGGCTGCACTTACTTATGGGTTAACTCCTCCCCTCACACCAAAAATGACAGGAAAAATAGCCCTGAAATTAAAGGGACACTATAGTCACCCAGACCACTTCAGCTCAATGAAGTAGTATGGGTGCCAGGTCCCTCAGGTTTTAACCCTTCACATGTAAACATAGCAGTTTCAGAGAAACTACTATGTTTACATAGCAGGGTTAATCCAACCTCTAGTGGCTGTCTTCTTGACAGCCGCTAGAGGCACTTCTGAGACGCTGGATGCGAAATTCGCATCCAGCGTGCAGAATGTCCATAGTAAAAGCACTGAAAAATGCTTTCCTATGGACTGTTAGAATGCATGCGCGGCTCTTGCTCCACTCGGGAGCTGACGTCGGCGGGGCAGGAGAGGTCACCAGCGCTGAGGGAGCCCGGCGCTGGATTAAGGTAAGCTGCTGAAGGGGTTTTAACCCCTTCAGCGCTAGTGGAGGGGGACCCTGAGGGTGAGGGTCCCTCAAGGATGACATAGTATCAGGAAAACGGGTTTGTTTTTCTGACACTATAGTGATCCTTTAATGTAAACTGATCCACCCCCTCCCATCAGACGGTCTTTTTACCTGTCCTTCGCAGCAGTTTGGATGGAGTCCCAGGGTATGTATGAGGATTCTGTCAGATGTGAATGATTGGGAATTAAAATTTCAAGCCTTACTAGCCAAAACGGAAACATTCTCCAATTAAATGTCAACCCTATTTTGACCTAAAAATTTTAATTCGCTCTTGGGATTCCTGTCATAGAATGCATGCAGGTCATCAGTGAGACGGATGTTTTACAGCAGGGTTGCATGGGTCTGAGATAGTTTGGTATTCTGGGTCATTGTTAACTCATCACAAATATAAACACAGAGAAACAGTGAAAGTTAATATGTCTTTAAGTTTTAAAATATATTTACTCAAAAGAAAACGGTCATTGATTTTGATTTTTTAAGTGTTGTACACTTTCTTTGAATGCAGTTTTTCTTTATTCATCCCTACTGATTTTTTATTAATTTATCCCTGCTACCTTCACTCTTTCCATTGGGTGCACAGCCATTTTGAGTTATCTTGTGTCAGAATCAGGCATTATCTGAAGACCACGCTCACTAGCCTTTCTGCTGTAAATTCTCAGACAAATGGGCTGAGGAAGGGGGGAAGAAATATTGGAAAATAATCCATAAGAATGATTAAAGGAAAACTGCGTCCAGATGAAAGTAAAGGGGTGGGGGGGGGGTTTATAAAATAAGTGACATAATATCTTTACTTACCAGAGTCTAAATCTTATCACTGCATTAGTGTATTCATTCTAGTCACTAACATTTTTCTATTTCTCAAGTCAATGCAAATAAATGAAGATTATATAGTGGAAGTTAGAAACATGTCTATATCCATTTCAACAAAAATCCACTCACAAGGTATATCTTGTTATAACATGCAGATAAAATATGTAACGACTTCTATGTGTTTCTTTGCTATGTTTAAAGGGAAGCTGTCAATTTGAGGGTAATGATGTGCTCTAACAGAAAACATTAAAGTGACAATGCTAAAGTGATAAAGCCAGGCACTTATTCACATTAAAGTGTGAATTGCTGAAATATCAAAGCAAATTCAAAAGTGACAGCAAAAGTATATATTACATTTTAGGGCAAAATAACTGAGAAAATAGCCGACTATGCACATATTTTTTTTCTCCAATTCAGCTATTTTGGCGTAAAATTTTAAATGAACCTTAAATTCCCAACAATTCATGCTTTAGTAAATAACCATGCATGTGTTATACTTATCTACGTTGCACACAATTATACAGCACAATTACAATTATTTATATAATAATATATATTTATAGCACAAACACATTCTTCAACACTGTACAATAGGAACATAACAAAACATGTATGATATACAGGCACAAAAGGTTAAAAGGGCCCTGACAGAATGTTTTTTGAATGTGGAGTAGTAGAGGTTTGTGAGGCCGTCTGGGCCTGGTGCCTTTTCCTTCGGCATCATATCTATTAACTGTAGTACTTCCTGGGCTGTGATGGGGTTCGTTAGATGCGCTATGTGTTGTTCTTGGGGCTGAATGGCTCACCTGCATACTCCCCATCCCCTTTTTCCTTTCTGTACCCCAAAATAAAAATTGTCAAATTGAAAAAAAAAAAAAAAAGGGTCCCTGACAGAACAAGCTCGTAATCGAAGCTAAGGCATTTATTGGGCTGCAGTAATATGGGTCTGTCTCTAAACTCATAGATAATGCCTTCTCTTTTTGCCCTATATTTTGAAATGAGGTTTTTTCACTTTACAACAATTTTGTGTTTATTGAATAATCCCCATTGTTTCTGCTTATTATTACCCGAAGAGAAAAATTAATGTAATTTTTTTTGTAAAATATCTAAGAAAGCTATGTGACAAAAGATTATTATAATAAATAATACTATTTCTTAGTATTATTAAATATGCAAAATATTAAGATTGTGGTTTTATGCTTTATAGAGCTAAATTAAGACATTAGTGGGAGTCCTTTAATATGTCTGAAAACAGACATTGCTGAGGTAGTTCCGGTAGCAGCTGCTACAACCCTTGTGTAGTATTAAATATATCACATTTATGTTGTATAACACTAGGATTTATAAGATTTACAATTATTAAGCATTGCTGATTGTTAATTTTGAAGCAGCCAGAAGGGGGCACTAAAACATAAATAGACCTCTGCTCTATACAATAGGTAGCTTACCCGAGAGGTAGGCTGTATGGACATTTACAAGCTGCTATAACGTCATGTCAGTCCGTAAAAAACAGCTTAAGATTCTAAAATATTATACTTCCAAATATTATATGTTTCTGCTCTGGCTCATTTTTTTTTATATACAAACTTTTATCTTTTTTGCAAGTTAATGGAATGTTTGACAGATTTTGGGGTGGTCCTTATCCCAAGCCATCTAGGTATAATTGCCTCAAACTGAAATTTACATGGCTACAGATAAAACAAATTAAAACAGTACCACAATCTGGCCAGCAGGTTGTGCTGCATATCTTTTTGCAAAGCATGCATGATTCGAAATTGCGCTTTTTAAATTGACTAATATGGACTACCTGTCAAATCCTACTCTGGATTTTGGTACACCCTGTGTGTGTGTGTATGTACAGTATATGTAAAGTGACTCGCTTTTCCGTAACTAACTTCCTCCTTACGAGAAACCATTTTGTCTACAGAAAGTTACATTTAACTTGCTCTGGCTGTCAGGGTACCTTAGTTGGCCCTTGGTAGTATTTCGGCTTCATGTGCCATTAGATAGTTGCCCTGTGTGGCCAACTCCCATCCTCAACTATTGGACTGCCGTCCTTTCTTGAGTTCCTATATCCCAATATAGATCTACTGGATTGGAATAGCTGAATTGAGTTACATATTTTTTGCAATGATTCAGTTTAAAATACTAATGTCAATAGATACATATCAAGAACTTTCTTTTCTAGGTACCAGCAGTTTCAATTGTGCATAGAACTATCCGGTGAGGCTAAATGATCTTGTTTCCTAAACAAACAAGGGCTTTGATTTAACATTTGGATAGGCTTTTCAAATAATCACAATCTGTTAGAAAATCTTTTCAACCACTCCCCCATCTTAGCAAGCATTAAGTACCCATTATTCCGACCTAGAGACCGTCAATGGAGGATGAACGAAACAATTCTTAATGATGGCCCCACGGCTGCAGACATCCGAGCGGCACTAGTTACATATTTTGAGGAGAACGACACTCCTGAAGTGCCCGCTTTGACGATATGGGAGGCACATAAATGTGCCGTCCGGGGCCACCTTATCAAATTGTGCACAAGACGAAAGAAGGAGCAGCAACGACGCACGGACGACCTGCTTAAACGTATCGCAGACCTCGAGGGACTTCATAAGGCCACCCAATCGGATGATAGCTACAAAGAGTTGTGGGAGAACAGAAAGAAGTTGCGAGACATTCTCCACCAAAAGCTACAGTATACGATCCGAAAATCCTGACGCTTCTTCTACGAATACTTGGGTAAGTGCGGTCGATTGCTGGCCAGGACATTACAAAAAAAAAAAAAAAAAAGGAGAATGTGCTACATCACAAAAATCAAGTCCAAAAGATCAACAGGTGACGCAACTGCCTGAGAAAATTACGGAGACATTCAGGGGGTTCTATGAAGACCTCTACAACCTCCCTATGGAGCAGTCGGAAGAGGCAGGCCATCGCAAGGACAGACGGATCACAGATTACCTACAACAACATGTCACTAAATCAATAAGTCGTGACGCGGCAGAAGAACTAGAGGCCACAATCACACTGGAAGAACTACAGATTGCGTTGAAAAGCTCGAAACTGAACAAAGCGCCTGGCCCGGACGGCCTGCCGGTGTGATACCTGAAGGAGTTCAGCGACGTGCTTTTACCACGGCTCCTAAAGGGCCTCAATTCAATACTGGAAGGAGGAACATTTCCGAGAGACTCACTCATGGCGACGATAACAGTTATCCCTAAAGATGGCAAAGATCCAACCAACTGCGTGAGCTACAGGCCGATTTCATTATTGAATGCGGACCTGAAGCTGTTCACGAAGATCATACCAACGCGCATGAGAGGAGTCCTGCCGGAATTAGTACACCCTGACCAAGTGGGTTTTATCCCAGGACGGGAAGCGAGGGATAATACTACACGTGCACTGAATGTCATCCATGCGGCAAAACAATCGACACAGAAGATCCTTCTCCTGTCCTCAGATGCGGAGAAGGCTTTTGACCGCGTGGACTGGCGATTTATGAAGGTAACGCTACACGCCATGGGATTTGGCCCTCGTATGTTGACCTGGATCCCTTCACTGTACACGACACCTACCGCCAGGGTCAGAATTAACGGGGCTCTCCCCGCACCGGTCCACATCCACAACGGTACGCAGCAGAGGTGCCTTCCTGTTTGCCCTCTCCCTGGAACCTTTCCTGGGGGCGGTAAGATGGGACGGGGGAACAGGGGGCTTCGCCTTACAGGGAGAAGTACATAAGGTGGCCGCATATGCGGATGACATGCTATTTTTCATCAGCAACCCATTGATCTCACTCCCAAACCTTCTGAAGGCCTTCGAGGAATATGGACAGTTATCGAATTTAAAGCTGAACACGGACAAATCGGAGGCACTCCCCATAACACTGAGCAGGGATACCACCGGCCACCTGCGAACATAGTTCGCTTTCACATGGTGCCAAACCAGACTTAAATACCTGTGAATTTGGCTCCCCATGGACCTATCCCAGTTCTATGCCCATAACTTTGCAACAATGGGACACATTCTGAAAGGCGACCTGGCTCAATGGGCGGGCTTGTGTGTCACGTGGTTTGGGAATTGTTTTAGAAAAATCATTGGAAAAGTATGTGATCATTTGAAAAGTTTATACAAAATATTTAAATTTAAGCCAAAGATAGCTATCAACATTTACTGGATTTTCATTTGAAAAGTTTGACGTGACCAACATAATGTATGCAGGATAATTCACTTTGATTCAGCGGAAATTTATGTCCAATTTAGCGAACTAGAAACATTACTGAGAATTTTGCCAGGTTGGCTATTTTGGGTTTAAATTTGAAATTCACGTTAAATTCACTTTGAATTTCTGACAACTTCCACTTAAATAAATAAACCTGACAGTACAAAGCTAGTAAATAGTCATAGATTTAGGGAAATAGCAAGACCAAGCCTACCACTGCCAGCCAAATTTAAATAGATTGGTAAGGATATCGCAAAAGTAAAACTTTTATATAACCTCAGAGGCCAAATTTCCTGCTTTGAGTGGAGCAAGAGTTTGGTATTTGCCAAGTCACTTTAAAGGTTTGACAGATTTTGGAGAGACTACACCAAAAGGCTACTTGCCTCATCGGCATTACTATGAGCTATAGTTATTTTACTGGTAGTGTCTGGTCCCTTTAAACCCATCTTGCTTTTTAGATTAATGTTTCTTAACCTTTTCTACAAAGACCTATATTTTTCCAAAGGTAGATCTACTTAAAAACCAAAGCTATAAGCAGACATGTATGGAACTCCTGTAGATGTTATAAATTGTGTCAAGGTCACATACAGAATTAATTTGGACTTAGCCATTCTCTGCATGCCAATATTTACTTTTCAACTCCAATTTTTGACCCAGCAGTAGTGAAGGCATTTGCCAACATTCCATTTGGCCATGTGATATTAATTTATACGTTTTAGTAGTTTAGAAAATCTTCTGTCATAGAGGATCAGGGGTGTCACAGCATGCTAATTTAGTAAATGTGTCTATATTTACTTCTCTACCATACTGGTTCAGGAATAATGTGCAGATTGTATAAGACTGGGCAAGGTAGAATACACCTTCTCAGATCTAGGACACTTCGCAGCAGGTATGTGATCAACCTAGCAGAGCACAAATTGAGCATCCACACTCTTTTAGATTGAATTCCTAGTAAAATAATTCAGCCCCAACCTCACATAAATAACTGATGCTTCTTGCTCAGACACGATTCATGACTATATGTAGTGTAGTATAAAGTTACACAGTAGGAAACATGTCAGCCTATATAATGTGTAAAAAATTAACAGAATCAGAGTCCAATAAATGTAGTACAAGGTATTTGATCAAATTCTCGGGTAGTTATCTGGCTCTTTTTAGAAATCACACATTAGTAAGCATTTATTTGCAAGGACTATTGACTATCTACACATAGGCCACCTGGTAGCAAAAAAAAACAAGAACAAAGCTATTTCCTTAAAATGTGAATTGTAGGGAATTAAAACTGAATTTTACATTCTAGGCAATAATAGCCGAATTGAGAATTTTTTCCACGTCCGTAAGTTTTCCATTTTGGTAAAATGTATATTCATAACTGGTGAAATCTTTTTTTACTTAATTACCCGATGCCAGTGCCGATGTCCCTCGGCACTTCTTGGTCAGTGTTCCTTCTCCGATGGTGGAGCCTAGCGCGCATGCGCAGCAAGAGCATTAGGCGCTCCCATAGGAAAGCATTGCCTCAAACTTGTGGAAGTGCCTCTAGTGGCTGCAATTGAATATATTGCAGGACTAAGGGGGACATCTCAAGAGATAAAGTAGTATGGGTCACTATACTGTCCCTTAAATGTTGAATTCTCGACTATTCCCACTTTAGTGGAAAAAAAATAAAAAAATTGAATGTCTCATACCTGATGAATGGAAGGACTTTTAATCTGACTCATCAGTGTTTGTACCGTGTTTTTAATTTTAATTTATGCCTGATCGGTGGTAGTTGTTTTTTGATGAATAATAAATAAATAAATAAATAAATAAAGCATTCCTTCCACATGCGCCGGCAATTTTATTCGGCAAGTTAATGTGCTGCAGAACTAGTAAGGGGTATAAGCCCCACTGACAAGAACATGATTAAAAGCATATAATTTCCATACAGCCCCTCGCATCTGCTCTTCCAGCTGCTCTTTAAACGTCACGGAAAACTCAAATAAAATGCCAGAAAAACTCTTTGTGCCTAATCTGCAATAATATATAGACAGCACCTGGCATTCCAGTTATAACGTGCATTGGATTTTCAGTCATTTAAAGGTCTATTAAAGATACAGTCTGATTAAAATCTAGATTCTATTTATGCACTACGACACTCCGGCAAGGGCTGCAAATTATGGCCTGCACTCCAGCTTCTGACTTTTCCCAGTGGCTGGTTTTGTACAGTGTATCTTCCTGCCGACTAATTAGTGGCTGTGATATAATTATTTATCATCATGACACTGAAACGACTTCTATAATTAAGAAAACCAACCATGCACAAAACTGAATAAAGACGTCACAAGGCAGTCTGAGATGAACTGAGAAAAAAATGTTGTAAATTAACCACCAGTTGTGATAACTAAGAGGCGCACAAAGAGATACAAGAATGGCATGGCTCAATGTCCACATTATTATGTTGAGGGACTCTGCATCTTGTTATCATTCTTGTCATCGTTGGTGGTAACCTGGTTGTCCGCATTCCCTGGAAATAGAAATCTGGTAGCGGGCATCATGCCATCTTTCCCCCATTCAGTGATACTGTGCTTAAATCAACAGGAATGTGAATTTGATGTGTCCAAAGTTGGCCCCTGTCTCTTAACTACTAAATTCGATGCTGCCCCGCTGCAAGAACAATGCATGCTACAAAAATGCTTTCTGTGGATTTTGGCTTTAAAAATTAACCAGTAAGTAAAGTAAATCAGAACTATGCTGTAGTACTTTTTTTTTTTTTTTTTTAGATATGAAACTGATATATAGCTCTTAATAAAAGACAGAATGTGTCCCTACAACAGTGCTTCTCATTCTTTATGATGCTTTTATTTCCAGCATAGCGATTACAGATGACCTACTTATGATGCAATATAACTTCTTTCCCAGACACCTTTGGATCAGTTAACTATGCCTACTATGCCATTTTGTTTCCATCCAGACTTTGTCAATTTTTAGCAGTAAGATGTGAATAGAGAATTGCACTGACACTGTGGGGGTATCAAGCCTGTCAAGGAATAGCACATGCCTGCAAATTACTATCAATGAATTGATGCTCTAAAGCCTTGTTTCTCAACCTGTGATACGTATAACTCGGGGGGTATGCGCAACAAAAAGCAGGGAGTATAGCAAGAGCTGGCCGGCTGGCCACCTTAGGCATCTGGCTGTGAGCTAGGGCAGAATAGGCACCTGCTTACCTGGACGTCAGATGCCTACTTTACCCAAATACAGTGTCTGGGAAAAGGCTGTAGCTGGGCAGCAAGGGAGCTGTAATCTCTGTGTTCTTCCAGCACTGCTCCCTCAAGCGTCCTGCAGTAATGCCAGGAGCTGGGTTTTGACGTCATTCCGTCCCTGGCATCACTGCATGCGTGCGAGGGAGCACAGCAAGAACACCATGAAGATGACAGCAGCCACATTAGACCGGCCCCGGCCACACTGGATGCCAGGTAAAGGATCCACTCCAGCGGTCTCGATAATTTGTGAGTGTGTGTGGGAAAATGTATGTGACTGCCAGTAAATGTGTGTCTGTGTGTCATTGAGTGTGTCAAATCATCTAGTGTGAGTGTCAGTATGTGTCAAATCAGTGAGAGTTTGTCTGTGAGTGAGTCGGTGTCCTCTGTGTTTGTCAGTTTTCTCTGTGTGTAACTATTATGTGTGTATCATATTTTAATTTTATGATGTTTATACTTCAAGAAATATTCAAGTTCATACACTCCTCCTAACAAATACAATATTCACATTATGTCAGAAATTATTTTCTCGCAATAGGGTTACTTCTCCGTAAAAGGTTGAGAAACACTGCTCTAAAGTATGCACACAGTGACTGAAATAGGTAACAGATAATTCTTAAAGAAACTCTACACAATACAAGTCTGCTTTAATAGAATATCTGATTGACTATAAACACGTATGATACAATTTTGGTACCAAATGCATTACTAAAGAAATAAACTACTAAATGTTAATATTCCATATACACTACTCGAAAAAAATTACAATAATAATAATAATGGAAAAATGGTGTAAACATTTTGTGTGTGTGTGTGTGCGTGCGTAAAAAAAAAAAAGTTTAAAGGTCTTAAAGATAATTTCATATCTCCTTATTAGGTGATGTATAAGATATGAAAATGTGTTGTGGCAGTGCATTCTATAGCTCGGCAGGATGTGGCTACCTAAAAGTAAGACATTGATGCAGTGATGCTTTTCTTCTGAGAAAGATGATTGGGTTTTACGTACTGATTGTGAAACTATTTCCTATAAAGTCTTTGTAAAAGTCACAAGAAGAAAGGTAACACCACATTAAAGAAAGGCTGAATAAGAGCATTTATTCTCTAGAGACTAGATGTCCCTTAAGGCTTACTTAAACTGAAGCAGCAAATGAATGAGTCCCCGGCAAAAGGACCAAAGAAAAGTATCGAGGCAAAATAACATGCGGGGTTATTCAGTAAAATGTGAATTGTTGGAAATTCAAAGATAATTTTACATTTTAGCCCATTTTAGCTGGCTTGGAGAAATATTCCAATGTGGCTATTTTTACCTAAAATTTGACTTGAAATGAACTTTGAATTCCAATCATTTTTAAAACTTGAATAAATAATCATGTAAATTACGGAGACTGCAAAAAAAATAATAATAAATAAAGAAATTTAAAAAAAACACTTTTTTCTTTTACCAAAAATAATCTTACCGGTATATATTATGGACATTGAAAAATTGCTAGGGACCGAAACTAACATTACTCCAAATTTGCCCTTTTTGCAAAAAATAAAATAAAAATAATAATAAAAAAAATCATAATAATATGTTAAAAGGACACTATAGTAACTAGAGCAACTACAGCTTAATGTAGTTGTTTTGGTGTCTATAGCCTGTCCCTGCAAGATTTATAATGTAAACACTGCCTTTTCAGAGAAAAAAAAACATTACTTGCACAAAATATTATAGTGAATGCTCAACTGATACGGGTTAGTGTAGTAAAGCATGCAGTTATGAACAAATAGGGTTCTAAATGGCAAGGACCTGTTCCCTACCAGGTATATATTAGTCATACAATAAAATAATTCCCAAGCACACAAATAGTTATTGCACAAAGATAGTTTTTATTTCTTTAATAATTAAATTTAATAATTGATATTTTAAATAATTTATACTAATCTAATTTATTTAAAAAATAAAAACTATCTTTGTGCAATAACTATTGTGCTTGGGAATTATTTTATTCAGTGTTTACATTACTGCCTAGGAACACCTCTAGTGTCAGTCACTCAGACGTCACTAGAGGAGCTTCCTGGGTCAGTGGGGCACAGTTTATATAGCCTTTTTAACAATATATGTAGTGTTTGTATTCCTTACACTATAGTGTGCCTTTAATATACAAAATAAAATGTGTTGTTCCTCCTTTGTGTTAGGCTTAGATATTGTTTACCCATAACTGATATTTGTCCCGGATACATAGATTTTAATTCCATAAGGCTAACTTTATTCTGTCTTCAAACATCATTACCACTTGTGTTTTGTTTGGCTTAAAATGGATAGCATTTGCAGGATTTTTTGTTATACCAGGATTTATCAAGAATTAAATTCTTCATGAATAACCTTGCATTTTCTATCTAAGGCAAAGTGCCCTTGAGATGTACTACAGGTTGTTTATTTTAAAACTCAAGTGCTTCAGCAGTGCTTGGCACATGGGAGACACCCTTTACTAACAAGCAATTTGACAGTTTTACTTTGTCATGAGCAAACCCACTTACAGCTCTGCAACCACCCTCACCCTGGCTCTCCTAACTGATCGCAGGTCCGTCAAAATTAGGAGGTGTGCATCAATTTAAACAAACGGTTAAATCAATAGTTTAGTTGGCAATTATGTACATTGCATGCATATTGTATATTATTTGTATAGATTCTGATCTACGTACTCAGAAGTGTCTACTTATTTCCCAGAGTTACAAAGATATCATGTTTTTCGACTGTATTGATTAAATTAACTCTAGTAACTTACTATTCCATCACCAGAATAATCTCGCTGTTCGTCTCATACACCTCATGGAGATCCACTACGTAGGGAGAGAACCGGGCCATTTCCAAGACGGCAATCTCGTTCACAATGTCGCAACGGCAGTCCTCTCCCTTTCTCCGTTTTCTCAGGAACTTGGCGGCATATTCTTTGCCCGTGACTAGTTCCACACACTTCTTCACCACTGCAAACTTTCCCCTATAAGAAAAGAACAGAATTTTTGTTTTAAATATTATGTCAATGTCTCAAAATAATGAAATACAGGAATTTTAAGGACCAATCAAAATATACGTTTAAGCTTAAAGGAAAACTATGGCGTTATGAATACAAAAGTGTATTCCTAATGCTATTCTCTCCTACTAACTGCTTAGGTCCTCCCTTCCCCCAGTGTCTTAAGTAAAATGTATATATACATATAGCCCTCACCACATTGCTCTCCTTACTGCCAGTCTGCCTCTTTGGTCATTTTCCTATGGTTAAGATCTCAATCTCCTATCGGAAAGCATTGATAGGCTACAGTGCATGCACTGCAAATTGCCATACTGCACCAATCGAATGCTGCTCTTGGAGCAGCATTTGTTTGAGAATTGAGTTTCACTTGGTTCTCATGGGAAAACACCTCTAGTGACTATCAGAAAGACAGACCGCAAATAGAGGTGTGTTAAACCCTGCGATGGAAAATTCTTAGTTTCTACAAAATGGCAATGTTTTACATTGCAAGGTTTAAATTAAAGGGCCACTGTAACCAGACCACTTCACTGACATGAAGTGGTCTGGGTGCCGTCAGTGGTCCCTTAAGCTCTAAACCACTTAATCATTATAATTAACAAAATTTAAGATTATTCTACTGCAAAGAACTAGATAATCTTGTAGAGTAAACAGAGGTATTACAAATTAGACATACGTTAACATGAGAGGAGGGCCCTGTTATAAAGAGCTTATTGTCTAGCTAAATTAGGGGGAGGCAGTGCAAACAAAAGAAGCAACCTGGATCAGACAGAACTGATGCAATTTTGGAGTGAGTGCTAGAGATATGTCAAAATCACCATGGGAAACAATACAATGTATTTTGTTTATTGCTCCAGTTTCCCAACAATTTCTCTACTTGAATGCTAGAGGATGTATTTATCAATAGTGAATTGTATTTGATATGAGCCCTTGTGTCTAGGGCTCTGGTTCTCAACCAGCATGCATCAAGCCACCATTGAGTGATTTTAATATAGGCAACCTCTCTAAGTTCCTGTCCCCCGGACGCCTCCCCCGTGATGTGACATGGACATCACTAAACTGATATGGGACAGGGATTTTCCACCAGAGTGGGATATGCTGCCACCATAGGGTACTTCCCAGAACTATTTTACCAATAGGATGACCCACCCTGTCTCATATACTCTCTCACCTGTCATTCACTTAATTTTATCGCCATTTATATAGTGCCAACAGATTCTGTATCACTTTACAATACTTATTCCCACCAACCTTGTCACCCACCCCCTTATGCTACAGTTAGGAAAAAAAGGATTTGATCCCCTGCTAATTTTGAACATTTGCCCACTGAAAAAGAAATGATCAGTGTATAATTTTAATGGTAGGTGTATATTAACAGTGAGAGACAGAATAACAAAAAACGTAATCCAGAAAAACGCATGTCAAAAAAGTTATAAATTGATTTGCATGTTAATGAGTGAAATAAGTATTTTCCCTCACTGTAAATATGGGACTACTGGGTGAAGCAGGGCAAATAGAGTAAGAGTTATAGAAACCGGGCCGAAATTAAAAATGAGACTGGTAAAAGAATGTAAAAGTGTCTTTTCCAACAAAAATGAGATAGTGTTGGACGGGGAGACAACAATATGGGAGAAAAGTCTGGAGAGTGCATAAAAAGTATATACAGAAGACGAAACACAAAAAAGAGAAAATAAATGTGTAAAACTACACAGGGCAGTGCTTGTGGCTTGGCCTTATTTTAAAAAATATATATATATATCGGGTTTAGGTTTAGTGATGTTAACAATAAACAATGAATTTCGGTGTGACAATAGAATTGGTACTTTAGGCAAAAAATACCTGAATTTTAGAAGTTTACCAACAATCTACTGTTTACACTACTCAGTTCTCACACACTGCTCTGCAAATAAATTAGTATTAAAAAGACACTAAGTACTAAGACCACTTAATCTTACTTAGACCCTGTCCCTCTTCAGAGAAACAACGTGTTATAATAATGCCTCTAGTTGCCATCAGAGAGACCACCACTAATGTCACTTCCATGCAAAGATGTTAAATAATTTAAAGTATTCAAACACAACATGATAATGCTGAACACTGTCAACGTGGTGAATAGAAATATCAACGGACACAAAGCTTCTCTGTGAGCATTCTCTGATCATCTATTAACAGTCTGACAACTTGCCTGGAGTCCACCATGTGCCGGTCACCTTCTCTATGAGAACTGGAGCATGGCAGGGTTTAGCTCAGGAGAGCTAAAGAAAACTCCATGAAAGAAGCTTCTGGGTCACTATAGAGGAAGTGACCAGAACCCATAGGACCGTAGATAAGAAGTTACACGGTTTAGTGGTTTGATTACTAACTAGGGGATGGACTCCTGGCACCATAACCACTACAGCGTAACTTGTCAGGATTAGCTGATATCCTTAACTGAGGCAATTGTATTCAGAAGGGTTTTTAAATTTGAAATTGAAGTATTTGCATATAATACTTCAGCTGGTACAAACTAATCAAATTCCTTTTAATCTAGGCCTGAATGAATAGATCTGGCCACAAATCCAGGATTTATTCAGATGTTGATTAAAAGGTATTTGATTCATTCGTACCAGCTGAAAAGCATTCATGCACATGTCTATTGCTTAGAAAATCACTCACTGGAAAGCGCATTTATCATAAACTCATTGCAGAAAAAAATTAGGAATCTCCAGCTTGTGTGAAGATTTTTTTTCACTCAGTGGGAACTTGTGGAGAATTGTCAAGGGAATTGCATATTTTTGCCCAAAATAGCTTAAATGGAAAAAAATCTGCTATTCCAGTTCAGCTGTTTTGTAAGAAAAAACTCACAACTTCCTTATCGAACCACTATTTAATATATACACCCCCAGACAACCCATCAAAGTAGAGCTGTAGCAATTAACATTTATTGATTATCAGATTAACAGAACAGCATCCAACTGTCTGGTATTAGGAGAAAATCGAGTGAAAAACAAGTTTGTGTTGTGTTTATTTGTGTAAAATGGCAAAATATTTCTCATGCAATATAACAGTGAACATTAAAACATATGTAATGTTCAAACATGTCTGAAACTGGAATATTCAGAATGTCAATTACTTGTTGTCAAATATCACCATTCTATAACTGTTGAGCTCTGCATAGTTGCTGTATAATTACTACTAATAATAAATAATAACAGCACAAGTAAGTATATTATAATCCTAAATGAGACATAAAAAAATATAAATGCTGATTGGCTAACATAAATGGAAAGCATGGCAAATATTTTTTTTTAACCAGTGTGCACTGTAATCATCATTTTCATTAACGCTTTTCGTGTGAGAGTTCACATTGTTTCATGTTGCCCTACTTATGATACACACTATATTATTTTTAATAAATGCCACACATTTTTTTCATTTGTCACTGAGTATTGTTTTCTCACAGGGCCAATAGCTGTTTAAAACCTGTATTTTACTCTCTTAAAGGGACCACTGAAGAACTTTAGCTTCCTTTTTTAATTTTAGATTTCAATGAAAATTGGCACGTTTATAAATTAACTTTGTTACACATGGTGGCTTTCAAACAGACAACAGGTCCTGTTACTTCCTGGTTTGTTTAGCTTATTTGCAGTGAACTCAAGAGGCGACTTATCATTGATCTGCATTGGAAAGTCTGTGATTGGACAGCCACATAACATCTGGGCGGGGTTAGAAGGGGAGGGCATGCAAAGGCTTCAGACAGAGATGTACAGATTTTGCAAGCTGTTTTTAGAAATACTCAAAATTAGAATACATAATTAAATGCATGCATGTTTTCATTAGCATATGTCTACAAAACAGTGTTTTTTCTATTTTTGGGGGGCAGTGGAGTGTCCCTTTAACAACCACATGTTCCAGTTTGAGGTCACCCCAGTCTGGTCCCCGAGGAAATGTTGGCATGGAATGCCTTGGGTATTTAGCTTGGGCATTTCCACGCAGACCTGCGGTTACAAAAACAATTCAAATCACCATTTAGTAGATATACCCCCAGTGAAAACATGCATGCATTTTAATATGCATTTATTTAAACTCAGCTTGCAAAAAGCTGCAGATCTCTTTGTCTACATATTTTGCAAGGCAGTTTATCAGGACAATCGCCTGCCTCCTGAGTTTAGGCCTACTTAGCTAAACAACCAGGAAGTAACAGAACCGGCTGTCTGATTGAACTATGCAACACTTCAGAGTGAGAAATAAATGCATTTATTTCTAATGTTAAAGTGTTCCTTTAAACAAAACGGAATAACAGATCTCCTAGTCTAATGCTGGTAAATTAAATTCTGAGCACTATTTTAACACAGTAACTTTCTCATCAGAATAGCGGAAGTGAACCTTCATTCACAGCCCACACACATTACACGCAATTTTAAACATTTTTGAGGTTTCTTTTTTTTTTACTCTGTTCCTTTTTTGTAACAGCCACAACAGTGCATTGACTTTGAGACCCATGACAAACATTGGAAAACAGTGAAAGAACTACTACTCCCATGATGCATTTCTTGCATGCTTTCAGAACGGCAAAGCATCATGGAAGCTGTAGTTTTACAACATCTGGGGATCTACCTTTTGGACACCTATGATGTACAAACTATATACAGGTTGTCTACTCATATATCGGTATTAAGACAAGTGATTTATCTCAACAAAAATGGACAAGATGGTAAATCTCTTTCCACAGTGTAAACACTTGAGTTTTATGACCTTTAGAACATGTTACGCTAACCTATAGTGTGCAGTCTTTTTGATTTCTAACATAACATTCTTAATGAATATAGGGATCTCATATATGTAACTAATTGAAAAAACAAAGCACTACTTTACAGACGTATTAAGTTACATGATATCACATGACACATGATCTGAATGGTAGAAAATCACATTATCTGAAGCCCAACGTGTAGGTATCAAAGGTTTTCCTCTGTCGTCTGAAAGAATTAGGCAGTTTTGTTTTGTGTATCATGAAGTTTATAAGCTATTGCAGCGGTTCCCAAACTGTGTGACGTGCACACAGGGGTGCCGCGGAATGATTCCCCGGTGCTATGATTATACATGGTCGGGTCGTGTGCCGCGGCCCTTTAAGACAGCGACCGGGCACCTGTAATGCAGGGCGGCAGCGCGGGAGGAGGCAGCCACAGCGTGAGGGGAGAGGAGCATGAAGAGCTCCAGACCTCTCACTCCCACCAGCTAGCAGGAATCCAAGTCACCCTACTAGACACACAATGTAAGCTAGCATGAGGGTGGCTGGAGATAAATTATATTGTTTAATAAACTGTTGCGTTTGTGTATTGCCATCTATGTTTCAACAGTGTGTGTATGTGTGTGTGCGTGTCAGGGTGTGCATCTGTGTGTGTATGAGTGTGTGTCAGGGTGTTCATCTGTGTGTGTGGCAAGGTGTGCATCTGTGTGTGTGTGTGTTTCAGGTTGTGCATCTCTGTGTGTATATATATCACACAGTGTGTATATATGTATCAGGATATGCGTCTGTGCATCTGTGTGTCATTGTGTTTGTTTTTATGTTAGTGTGTGTATCTGTATCGTGATGTGTGCATGTATCAATGTTTGTGTGTGTGTGTGTGTATATGTTGCTGTATGCGTGTGTCAGTGTGTATATGAATGTGTGAATGAATATCTGTGTATGTATGTATGTTTGTGCATACATCCAAGCAGTCATACCCCAGAACAACATACAAACACACTCCTGCAATCTAACACAAATATTACATACAACCAAACCCCTGAATTCAAACTCCAAAAGGATATACAAACACACCCCTTCACTCAAACACAAATACTTCACACAAATGTACATCCGCATTTAAAAGTGAACATTACGTTCAATCATACCCCTGCAATCAAACGTAAACATAACATTAAAACACACCCCTGTATTAAAACACTAAAACTATACACAAGCACCTCTTCAAACACCAACACTGTACATTACACTATAGCGCCAGTAAATGCCGCAGCACTGTACACATATACAACCTAGAAATCTTTACTTGGGGTGCCTTGGAAACATATTGAAATATTAAGGACGCCTTGAACCTAAAAACTTTGGGAACCACTGAGCTATTGTGCAGACAGCATTTCTGTGAATTCAACTGATCCCATTAAAAAAAATGCAGAAAGCTGGTTATCAAACCTGATATCTCCATGTGGTTTCAATAGTCATTTGTCAGGAGGAAATGAAAGCCACATGGGAGGATATCGGTACTTTGAATGCTATTCTTCCAGTGTATTAGAGAAAGGCAAGAAATTGAGTCAGCACACTGCACGGAGGAGGCATACAGCACACTAGAGCTTGATACCCAAGTATGGAGTCATAAATCCCACTGGTAACACAAAAATGTGTTGTTTTTTTTTAAATGGTAAAAGGCACACTCCAGGCTGCAGATAACCCCGTCCTCTTAACTAACTGTCCTGATTATGGCAGGACAGTTTTGGTTTTTGGGACCTGTCCTGTCATCCCAACCATGTTCCCTGGTGTCCTGTCATTAGACATGCATGTGCTACACTCAGGGCTCCTTGTCTGCCCACCATGAGCCTGCCTGGATGATTGACAGGCAGCCTGGCCTGCATTCACGCCATGCTGACATCCAAATCCTCTTCCTTCTGGTGTCCCAATTCACCCAGCGATATTGGGAGGTATAACAATTTGTTATCATATTACACAGGGAATGTATAAAAAAAAAAAAAACAAAAAAAAAAACCTGAAGGACAAAAAGGGAAATAGAAAGATTTTATGTTCCTGCTTCTGCAGTGAGTTTTCTCAACGGTTTATGTGACTTTTCAAAGTTCAGCCTTGTCAACAATTCCATTTGTCAGAAAAGAGGAATAGACTGAACTGGGGAGTCTAACAGTTTTGTGAGCGGCAGCTGTGCGCCTCTCAGACGCTTCATTGAAATTGGTAAATGTTAGTATGTTTAGTGTAGTTGAGGATATGTTTAACAAGTACTAAGATGGCAGAGATGCAAGTTGAATCTCCTTCAATGAGGTCAGCTTATAACTGCAGCAATGCGTTTTTTTTCCATGTAAATCACTGCCTTTGATAGCAGAATGTACAGAGAGATAGAGACCGCTGAACCTCCATATTTAGTAACCTATGAAAGACGCATACGTTGTTATAGTGCTTGGCATGTCTCTCTAAATACTGAGCTTGCAATAAAACGTCAGGTGTGTGAGGGTATTTTCCATGGAAAGGGGATTTATTCAAACCAAAAACTATGGCATATTGAGAAGGCATCCTTCCCAACATTGGGAGATAAAAAAAATAGGGAAGGGTTTGCGGGCCTTCTGGGGAGCTTTGCCAATGATACAAGTCATGTCACTGGTGACACCCACGTCAAGCATGCCAGGCTGAAAGACAGCCTTTTGGTCGGCCCCCAACCTACAGGACCATGCTGAGAGTTCTTTTCTTTTTTTTCTTTTTTTTTAAGTTATCAAACTATGATTTGTACACTTCCCAAGTTCTGGATACAGTTTAATGTATGGCATTTATACTCAAAAATAAACAGTTTAAAATGTGGTATTTATATTCAAATATAATGCACATAAAACAAAAATATAAATGTTTCACTATGAATTCCCATTATTCATTGCTGTCTGTGGATATTACCAATTGTCCAGTGTAGATTCTACTATTATGCAATAATAAATTTTTATGCAGCATGGTTGCCCACAGTGACAGTAATTTCCTCCCTACTAGTCGCACATTAATTGGCTTTTTGACAAAGACTACTGGGAACAGGTGTGTGTTTATTGGCTGTTCAGTAATCTCTGTGTGGATTAAGGGTATGGAAACTTCTTAATTGTCTGACTTTTGCCTATTTAGCATTAGCCTTCAGCATTCAGCCTTACAGCAAGATTTCAGGCAGCCAAATATAAAAGATTTAAGACAGCTAATGGTGCACTAAATTTGTCTGAAATTGAGTTAAGCTTTTAAAACCACATACCACTGTGCATAACTAAAACTGGTCCAGACTGGGAAAATGCATTTTACCTGTCTAGGTTTTTTGTTTATAATCCCTCACTTCAAAAATCTTATCTAGACATCGATAGCCATTCAATTGAGTCCAGGTGCTGCACTCTGGGATAGCCTTGAGATGGTCAGGCACGCCAAAATTCTTACTTAATAAATAAGGGCAGGCCTTATCTCAAAGTGGAGCCAGTTGGATTTGATTCTATTTGCTATTGTATCCAATGCCTTTAAAACCAGATATTTTGTTTGGAAGAAACGAATGCTCTTAAAGGGACATATCGGTCACAAATGAGTACACAACAATATGCACTTAAAATTATATAATTTAACCTAGACAATGTGGTAGCAAATCACATTTAAAATATATAGATTAACCTCCTTAACGACCACAAGACGGTCTATGACGTTATGCAGTGTAGGGCTTTAAAACCTGTTGACAGCATAAATCGTTGTGCATCATAATTAGCAGCAGGGTTAAATCCATGCTGGTACCAAGGAGCCGCAGGTATTATTGGATACTTGAGTGTCACCTCTGTCAGAAGGGTCCCCAGTTGGAAGCCCCAGACTGTCATATGAGCTATGTGCTGCTCTTTAAATCCATTTAAATGCAATCGCTCAGTTGTGGTAATTCTGGGCCTACCAGAGCTTAAAACAAGGAGCTTCAGGTAAATTTTGATACCTGAGGGGGTCCCTTTTGTCATCTGAAGACACAATTAGAGTCTCCAGAGTTACTTAGCAATTGCATTAGCGCCAACAGTTAACTTTCCCCCAGATCTTTTAGCGTTTATAGATTTGGAACCTATTAAATATACTGGATATCGGACATGTTAATCAGTAATCCATTTTTTTAACGTGTGTATGAAGGATACTCCACACTTATTTTTTTTATATTGAATGTTTTAAAAAAAAGCATTTTTTCCATCAGTAGAACAGGAATGTAATCCTAATACCTTTCCAATGCAATTAGCAATGTGCAGGCCTTTACTTGTACAAAAAATATAACGAAGGGTCAATTTGAGTTAGTTAATGTTTTCCACATGTGCCATTGTGATACGAAATCTAGAGGTCAAGTAACTGAGATTGTAACAAATTAGATTAATCCCTATTACTTTGTGAACTAATGTTATGTCTGCTAATGTGAAACTGATGTCTTGGTAAAATCATAGGACACTTACCATTCCTTTAAGGGCAGTTCAGATTTACACCCATAATTCAGTACCCCAGCTTGCATGTTAATTTCTACATGAGAAAGCATTAAACTGCGCTGGATTTGTCTCAGCATAAGTTAATGTGTAACTAGTGTTTTATGCGAGGCTATACTACTTAACTTTGGTAATTCTGGTTCCAGGGGACTTATGTGGATTGACAGTGTTGGGCATTTTAAAAACAGCAAATGTAATTTAATCAATGATTACTAGCACTGGTTTAGTTTTAATTTTTTAGGAGCTAAAACCATTCATTGCTCGCTGGTCTGCAGGGTCCTCCTTATTGAAAGGTCGGGGCAACAATCAATGTTTGAGACACACATAAGGACTGTAAACTTTACAAGCAGAGTTTAACTGATGTTAACAGCTGCATTGGGGTCTTTTAACCAGTCAAGAGGGAGAATAATGCTCCATCAGGTTAGAGCTAAAAATCACATGCCATTTCCTCAAATCAGAACATTTCAAAGCACATGTGTTTAAGGTTGCTTATGGGTGTGGAGTAGTCCACTTACAAGACACTTTATAAAAGTGCCAATTTCTATGAGAAATTGCCACTTTTATTTATAAATAATGGAATGGAATAAATGTCAAACAAACAGCCAGGGAGGCCTCTTCCTGCTTTCATTATTCATTGGAGGTATATCTACTAAATCTTAATTTACAAAAATGATTTTAAGTGTGGAGTGGTTCTTTAAAAATATGTGTATTATTCCAGAAACCATAATTAATATATTTGGGCACTATGCTCTCATACAGTGAAACATTTATTCAGCTACTGTTTTGATACAAGTATTCCCGAAAATACAATGTCATTCTGGTTTTATTTTTCTACTAATTCCTCTCTGTTTGCCCGTCTAGGATATTTGAGCCTGTCAGAAGAATTGGCAGATACTGTACACAATTATTTTTGTTAAAGCGGAACTTTCAGAGATGTTCCTTTTTCCTTCACCCCAGAAAAAGCTATTTCAGCATTTACTAGAGTAAATAACACAGCAAACGTAAGTACAAATGTATTTACCTCTGCTGGATGACGGTGTTGAAAGCATTTTTGTCATTCCCATATCCCACTCTGGACCACGCTCGCACACTCAGACAGCTAATGCAGTAATGGCATACATATACATGTACGCTTGGCATATTCTTCAGAATAGGTCGCCAGGCATATTGGACTGAGTGAATTAACTAATTTATATAGTTTGCCCAGCAAAGAATGCAATAGAATATAAAAGAATTATGAATAAATTTAAAATTATTTTAGCACAATATATAGCGTACTTTTAGTTAGCTATTACGATGTCATAAAACTGAGGACATATGAAAAAGTAAGCAAAAATAAAACATTTTGTACATCTACATAATGTCAATTTTTAGATGTACCCGAACAACAGCAGTCTACACAAAAAAATGCTGTTTTGTCCTAATTTCACATTCAGCGTACAAGTCATGTTTCAAATAAATATTGTACTTATCGGAAAAAAAAAAAAATCAATTAAACATGAAAGGTTAATGCAGTCATTAAAACACCAATGTTTAAACAGCCAGTTTAAAATAATTTTCCAAAGCACCAGAATTAAAAGTAAACTTTTTTTTAATGGTAAATCTGGAATTAGCTAGATATGTTATCAGGAGAGTATATCATTTCATATGATATTTGCCATTGAGACAATATCATGTTTGCTTCCTCTAATGCATTTGAGAAGATAAAGGACACAAGTATAAGAATTTTACAGTCTCCCATTTACCTTCTAATTCACTAACCGTATAAGTCGCTAGTAAATCTTGTTTAAAGTCTATAAATGGGGTAAACGTGGACGTTAAATGGTTTCTTTTTTGCTATGGCTTCAAAGTAACCTGACATGATGGATTATAAAACGAGGACACATTTCAATGACTTGTTTTTGTAGAAATGCACAGATTTGTTTAAAGGACTTGCCTAATGTCATGAAATGTTTAACCTACTATTTGTTTTGTGCTGCGAATATGGAAATTGTGTACACAGTGTATAAAAATCTAGTGTCATATTGTTTACTGACATAGTAGAAAAACGTTCTTTCAGTAAAAAAAATATTTAAAATCGGTTGTGAACTAATGATAATGATACAGACAAGGTTATTTGTATGACAGATTTGTTTCAGGACATTCTGTGAAAATTAGGTGCATCAAATTACGACAATTTGGAACAGCAAATTTGGAGGTAATTCACTAAATTTATGAACCCCTAAACTGACAAGAACTATCTAAAAAAAGTTGGCAGGGTTTGAATTCCCTTTGTTGTTGAGTTTGTTCATGTACAATGATAATTTATGCTAGTTGAAAATCACTAGGCCTCATTTAAAAAAAAAAAAAAAAATTTATAGGCAAAAAAAACCACACAACATATTGAAATGAGAAGGAAAGATTGTTCAGACCATTTAACTTACGGCTGCTCACTTTTTAAAGCATGGTATTACCGTGAAGTAAATTTGCAGACACAGACAATAACTTTCCCTGAATTTTGCATTTGAACAACATATCTTTGTGAATAACTTGTGTATAAATATTATTACTTTTTGAACTTCTTTGAGTCTACCCCTAGAATGGAACTGCAGAATATGTTGCCATTTTTTTTTAACCAAAAAATACTCTATACTCAATAATTTATGGAGTTTGTCAATGACAATTCAATGTAATTTTTCATTCTAAACTTGCACAAAGATGCATGCCAACTGGCATATTATGTGTCTTGATTCCACTAGGACCTATTCAAAGCTTGGTGTAAATATATCAGGGTCCCTGCTAAGTTCAACTAAATTAAGGGGATTATTATAGGCCTAATACAGAATTTTGCAGGTTCCGTGTGACCTTGGCTGTGACAAACTTAACCAACTACTTTATTCACAAGTGGATATTTGAGCATGTCTGACAATTAGTGACCCCCTAATTGACCTTGGCACAGCTGTGAATTTTATGGCAATCCTTTGGACTGTTGGACTCCTTAGAAGCAAATTATATCACAATGTAATGTGCACTTGCTTGCTACTCAGATTACGAACTGAGAAGCAAAATTATCATGGCCGAGAGTGAAGTTCACAATTTGCATGGTTTATAATAATACTGAAAAAGTTTCGAGCTTGAACATTTTCCTATTATGTATTAACAGTGATAGAGCAGCCCCCGTGGACATCTACTCAAATAAATTACTGCTCAGTGTGGTTTGTCTGCAGACACTTCTCAAGGGTGGTGCACAAGTAAAATTGGTCAAATGATTCATCCCAGGTGCCCAAAGATATTTTGCCCAAATACGTTTCAGGAGTCTTCTTGCCTGGTCCTGAGTCATATCAAATGATGAAGCAAAAAAGTGGCCGCAGACCACTGGGATAACTTGGTGAATTTACAAAGGAAGAAAAAGTACTTTATTCTGTTCTGAGAAAGCCCATGCTATTCAGTAGCAAATAAGTGGCAGACATTTTATATGATCGTTGCTGTTGTTTCAAAATGTCCAAAGGGACCGTGCGATTTTGACATACTATTCAATTCCTCACCATAACACATAGACAAATTCTTATTCAGATGAAGAAGCTCCTCAAAGATCTCTAAGTAATTCTCAACATGAAAGGGGCAATGAAGGCACCCAGAGCCAGTTATTATCAACAAGACTTCAGTGTGTAGGTTTGAGATATGGGAATAAACCTTTCATGACCTAGATACTTATCAAGAATTAAGCATCTGTTTTCTGAGAATGTGTCCTGCTGTTTCTGCTTCAAAGAGAGGAAAGTCATGGAGTATATCAATACCAAGCATTCACAGAAGGTGAAAAAAATGCAATTCCATCCCAAAGTAATGTCCTTCTTCACAAAATGTGCGTTTAAGGATTTCTTTTTTTGTATTAAAGCTTTGAGTTGTTGAAAACATGTTCCCTTTAGACTTTAAGTGAACCATTGAGTCAAAGATCAAGTGGATGACATATTTACCTTCAAGTAAATATGGATGTAATCCAACACCCTGGTGGTGAAAATCTTCATGGGTGCAATTTTTCGGGTGTGTCACAGTATCGCATGTGGGGAAGCCTGCTTCATCCAGGCATGCATGTGTTCTCCAAAACTGTATCTATATCTATGTTATCACTAATTACTCTATAAGTTTACCTTTATGAGCTCTGCTTAGCAGTTTTGATTAATTATTTTGTTTTGTTTTTTTTAACTATTAAGTATAGTCCAGTGATTAGATAGAATACTCACTGCAGCCAAATCCGCTACTGTGAAATTGGTAAGGGTAATTATTGGATTACTATACATTCTATTTACATATTTTATAAACATTCCACTCAAGTTGCAAGAAAAATCAAAATCCATGTAAAATGATGGTAGATAGCAGCCAGACAATAAGTATATACAACGGTATATCTAGGCATTACAATTTAGGAATGTGTTTTTAAAACTGTAATCAGTACCAAACCACAACTATGTCCTAGAGATAAATAAGGAGAAAGAAAAGAGAAAACTTATCCCCTCCATTCAAACAGATTCAGAGGAGCAATATCAACATATTGTAGTTGAACTGAGGGCAACAAAGAGGACACTGAAATTGTCAGCAATGGAAAGTATTTCTTCCTGAGGCTACAACACACATGGGACACAATATGTAAAAGAAGCCCAGAAAATATAAATGAGGTGAGGAGAAAAGGGAAAATCCATGGAAGAAATATATTAAACTAAAGTAAGCAAGTCCTAACAGTTCAACTAAAAAGACATAGTGACAGTGAATGACTACCAAGCAAAACACCTAAACATCACAGAGGAGAAGCATACTGGTCCAATTCAAAGTTGAACTGATGATGAACTCAGGTTGTTAGACTTTGGCTAGAAGAACCATGGTGATTCAGGGTCATGTGTATTACCCTGAATCACAACGGTTCTTCTAGCCATATGATATGCTACGGGTAGGGGAAACTGGTGAGGAGCATGGTGAGCAGCACAGGCCTTGTCTTGTATCTGTCAGATGAATTATGGAAACATTTTGTTGGGTCAAAAGGATTTTTGAATTTCTCATCAGTTCGGTATGTTCTGGAACAAAAGAAGTTGGGTTGCCAGATGGAGTGAATGCCTTCAAATAATTGTATCACTTGACAAATCTGGAAAGAAAGTGAGAGAATGATCACTGAATATATAGGAAGTCTTTCCACTCCTTGAAAACTGATGCATTGTCCTAACTGCTCTGAAACTATCAAGTATCAAGTCTTGAATGCATTTGGAATCTGAAACATTTGGTCAAACTAGATGAGTTTGGACTGCTTAGGCATGAAGAGAGACGAAAGTAGTTTGTGAAGAACATGTAGGAGCCTCGCCATATCCAACTCCCTCTGCTAGACCTCCGTTGACCACATTCTTGAAACGCAGTTTGTCTTCCACAATGAGTCTCTTGCGCATTGTCTGTGTTGAATGAATATTTCAGTCTGTGGAGACTGATGGTCCTCCACATCTCATTTAAGAATGGAAACACCATTGGACACAATGGAATCCTATGATCTTGTATGTAGGAGATTACATTTTCTTTAGCAAGTTACATTTAATGGCTTGCAGGAAGACTTCATCCAAAGTAAGAGGCTGTGACACTTAATTGTATATTGAGATGTTTGCAAGGTTCCTTCTTTGGTAGGCTGTAAGGAGATTTACAGTAACAGGTGGTGGCAATGGACCATGCACACTTCATCCAGTTTATTTAAAATTCCATTGTCTATTAATCTTATAGTTAATTAATGTCCTTTAAATTATAAGCCTTCCTAATTGTGTATTTGTATTCCTGCACATTCCAAGTATAAACCTTCCTATATAAAATACATATACTCTGTGTATATGTCAATACATATGATAAGGACACACCATGATCCTATCTATAATTCACAATTAGAGTGCAGTGTTCTACATTAAACTCGCTTTGTAAGCTCAAACGTGCTTACAATTTAGAGGAGGATCATGAGCTTTTTTTTTATTTATTTTTTTATTTTGTTTTAAATATGACATACCATTTGAAACAAGAACATACATTTAATGGCCTAAAATAAACATGATACATGATTATGAGATTAAAGAGTTAGTAACAATATCGGTAACAGGAGATCCTTCCACTTTAGAAGACATAAAGCAGACAAGAAATACAGATGGTTTGCAGACATCCATGTTTATCAGCTGATCGGCAGTTATTTTGGCAATTAACAAAACCATATAATTTTGATCCCTCGCCGGTGGAAAGGGGGTGCATTTTTCTTGTTATTTGTGAAATAAAGTGGTTTCGATAAATAATTGCACAAATTTTTTTTATTTTTAATCTTCCTATACCACATGTGATTCTGAGAGATTTGTAAAAGGACAACTTTTAAGAGCTTCTCTACCTGGGGCAAGTTTTTTGTTTTTTTTTTACATCTTAGCCATTGCTATATGTGGATGCTGTACAACATGAAATATCTGGAAACATTAAATGACATTTAATTATCTCCCTTATTGTGCATGCATATGCACTCGGGGATGGATTGCACAACCAGTATGAATATAGTTTTAACTGGTTAGATATATATTTATATTTTGTGGCTGGAGGGCGTTTAGGATGCTGACAGCATCATGTCTTAGGCAAAATTCTTGTTACCACTTGATTAAGGGAACAGAAAGTTATTTTACCTGACAACTCTCTGGCTTTGACCTGATAACTCTAGGTTCTTGGGTAACAATTAAAGAGGTAGGACAGGACCTTTTATTCCCTGCTGACGGGAGAATGGGGAGAACGCCAGGGACCTCTGCCAGTTGTCATATATGAATATTTTAATAGAATATATGTTTTTTTTAAACATATATCCATCACAAAAAAAAAAAAATGATGGGTACATGTGGAATATTGCATGCATCATTTGTTGATGGACAAGTGATGCACACATATCTGTCTACACCCACTGTATGACACATCTTCACATAATTATATATTAATTGTATCTATGTGTATATATATATATATATATATATATATATATATATATATTTACACACACACATACTCAGGCCCCAAAAAGTCTCAAAAGATCCTGTCCCACCATCCCGCTTTAGTTCAATGGTGTTCAGCAGTACCGTATAGTCACCAGAACAACTACAGTTTAATGTGTGTTTACGGTGTGTATAGCCTGTCCCTGCAGGAAATTTTTAATGTAAACACTTCCTTTTCACTGACTGTCAGCATCTCCATGCTCTCCATGAAGGCACTGAATGTTCCCCATGGAGATGCACTGAGATGCTCATTGGGGCGGCACTGCGTTTTGTGGCACATGCGCAATAGCCTCCCAACGCTTTTCCGATATTCCTATGATCTCAGCCAGTGGATGCTGCGTTGGAAAAAAAGTTAAAGTTGTATTATTATTTAAGGTGGTAAAGGGGGCCGGTAACTTAAATAGTTTTTTTTAACACTATAGGTTCATGAATACGTGTTTGTCTGATGTCTGATATATATCTTACATATCTGGTGGGTCAATCATTTAAATATAAGTCAAATATGTTAATGGTTACTTTAACATACTTTAAAAACTGTTTTAATAGCATGCTATGCATGCTGATGATGGACATTTTGTATGCACATACAAGCTCCTTGCACCATGACTACTTCAAAAACCCTGTTATAGGTCTTAGGGTTAGGCTAAGATTGTAATCTTGTTTGAACAGGGCCTTCTTCACCTCTTGTCTGTCATTATTTGTTTATGTCATTTACTTACAGTTAAATATCCCTGTTTTATAATTGTAAAAAGCTATTGATGGTTCTAAATAAATTCTATAACAATAGTAATGCAGGCATTTTCAGGTATCAGGGCCGAACTGGCCCACCGGGATACCAGGAAATTTCCTGGTTGGCCACAGCACCTGGGGCCGGATAGACAGCCTTAATTATCAAGCTCCTGTAATTTAATCATTTTCCCCCTGGACTGTGAGGGAGGAGCTGGGGGCTGGTGCCGCCGCAATTAGGCTGCTGGCAGCCAGAGGGAGACCTGTCAGTCTTCCTTCACAATTTACAGCAATTTCGGTCGCATATCCTGCCCCCACATGGAAGCTCCACCTTCTGAATGGAAGCTCCTCCTCCCTGAGCTTGTCTGCAGTGAGCATATGTGTGTCAGTAAGCTTTTCTGTGCGGAACATGTGTGTGTCAATGAGCTTTTCTTTAGTGAGCATGTTTGTGTCATTGAGCTTTTCTGTAGGGAGCATGTGTGTGTCAACAAGCTTTTCTGTAGGTAGCATGTGTGTGTCAGTGAGCTTTTCTGTATGGATCATGTGTGTGTCAGTAAGCTTTTGTATATGGAGGATGTGTGTATCAGTAAACTTGTCTGTAGTGAGCTTTTGTATGACAGTGAGCTTGTCTGTAGTGAGCTTGTGTGTGTCAGTGAGCTTGTCTGTAGGAAGCATGTTTGTATCAGTGAGTTTTTCTGTAGTGAGCATGGGTTTGTGTGACAGTGAGCTTGGCTGTAGTAAGCTTTTGCGTGTCAGAGTTTGTCTGTACTATGTTTGTGTGTGTCAGTGAGATTGTTTGTTTATGAGGCTGTGTTTTACCTTGAAAGGACCAATATTTTATATTTGAAAAATAAATATATATCTGGGATGGCAAAACATAGCCTTACATATAACATGTGACAATATATGGTGCAATGAATGAATTGTGGGGCTGGCATAGATCTTTTTCCGGGGCTCCTTTGTATGCGCAATCCAGCCCTGCCAGGTATACATAACTTTCTATGAATTCATCGCAAACTTCTTCTCTACAATATGTCTTTCTCCTTTTTTTTTTTTTTTGCTGAATCTTTTAATCCCATTTAAATTATGTAAAGAAACACAGCTGGATCGGGGCTCAAAGAGGCATCCAACTACTTCTGTCAACACCTGAGTTTAATTGTGAAACACATAAATCTTTCAAACAGGGCAGGACACTTTGCAGTTGTTGACAGTGTGTTGAAGCATAAACATGAATGGAACAAATACCAAAATATCTTGCAAACTAAAGAGCAATAATCCTCTTCCCCTTCACAATTGTTCCGGGTAAATAATTCACAGCGGGTACAAAGAAAACAAAAATGAAGCAGCAATAGTGTAGACTGCTACCTTAAATGGCAAAATATATATAACTATGTGGAAACTCACTCACATATTTAGAAGCCTAATACAGCTTGCTCAATCTTGTATGCAGCTGTGCTTTTAGGGTAGAACCACACAATCCTTTCAGGTATCTCTCCCCAAATCTCAAGAAAACACAGGACACAAAGAAAAAACAATTGTGTAGTATAATATTCCACAGAGGGTGAATAATGGTAGAATGCTCACATTTTAGAGAGCCTAATTATACCTGGCTCTGAGGTGCAGAGATGCGGTGTTAAGAATAAGGTGGCACCTCCCATATATAAGATGTAGCCATCTGGAACTCAGGATGGATGTATCCAGACTAGGACTTTGCTAGTAAAATATTTTTAGAAATAAAATACCCTAAAATAAAAGGTTTTTAAACTGCATAGAAAATCAGGTATAATCTTCTTGCCAAAATACGCTTTGCATAAAAGCTTTCTCAATCAGAGTCCTCCTGTTCCAGATAATCATCTTTTAAATTCACATGCCGATTTGCTTACGTGGTACGGAAATTACTTGTCGCTACCTTGCGTTATGCCACTTCCAAACCGGAGCTGAAGCGCTCTCACCGTCATCGTTGCTCCTCCAGCCAAAATAACTCATAGAAAATAACCAAAAAAATTTTAAATTATTTTCTCACCCCTCCTGTGTGGTATATGTATTATTCATTCTCGGGTCCTCTACTAGAGAGTCTGAGGGTTCTTCATTTTTTTTAAAAACCTTTTAGATGCCTATTGTATATGGAACAAAGATGCAATACTTTATATAAAGGTGGTTCCAGGAAACAACTCAATATATAACAATGTTCCAGAGAATGTACAGCAAACATTCAAACATCAGATTGCCAAAATATATGAAACTATTTCAGTACTTCGAAAGTTATACATACTTTACAGGCTCGTTGGAGGGGAGCCTGTAAAGCTGGATAGCTTACTCATAATCAGGAGTTAATAGTCAAGTAGCTCAATTTCATATTTTCACACACACCTGATGCTCTTGGTCCTCTGTGCCATTATATAACTCATGTCCTAGAGAAAAATTGTGCTGTATTCTAGGTAACTTGTGCAGGACCTCTCATTATATTGTAAGCCGCTGCGGACTAAGCTGGCGCTATATAAATGGCGATAATAATAATATTAGATTTCTGGCTTACTCAGTCTTTTAACCTTATGTAACTGACAAAATGAGTAAAATTAAAGAGATACTGTGGGTACCATAACCACACTATAACTACTTCATCTGACGCTCTCAACCTATAATTATTTATAAAGCACCAACAAATTCCTCAGTGCTGTACAATTGGTGGACCATGACAAGTATCTGTAACAAAACGAGTTAGATGCACAGCAACAAAGGGTGTAGAGGTCCATGCTCAAATGAGCTTACATGCTAGAGGGAGTGGGGAAAAGTGACACAAGATGTAAAGATTTTGAGGTAAGGGTTATCAATCAGATTAAGTGGTTGTAGTGCCTGGACTATCATTTTAAATGTGGTATCTAGTTTGAGATAAAAAGTATTATTTAAAAATGCGCAAGAACTAAAACTGTCAAGGAACCTGCAAGGCCAACATTGTTCCCACGTTTGATTTACAAAATCTATAACATATAATCGTCAAACAGCTCTACAGATTTTACAGTAATATATGTGTTTTAGTGCGGATAGTATGCAAATAACAGGGTAAATGACAAACACATGGATGTGATATTGCATGCCTTTTCTTATATCTATATTTTTTAAACTCCTGCTGCCATTCTTAGTTTTAACCAGTATCAAACCAAAAGGGGAAAGGGGTTTGGGGGGAGGGTTGAAGCATGTCTGTAAAATGAACCACTTCCCTCTGCACTTTAAAGGAAACATATTCATTTGACGAGGAACCACATACCACATTCTTAGTGACAACTCAAATTACAGCTACGGCAAGATCAAGAGAGATTACAGAATACTGATTCTTAACCTTTCTTGACAAGGGCCCAAATTACGTACATGACATTTGCTTGGCGACCCATTCTTCTTCTGTTATTAATAGGTGACAAAGTTAATTTTCTGAAACATCTTAGGTTCCTCCAAGTGATATATAAGAGTCTCTTTTGCATTGGCTAAAGCAGTGCTGCTACACTAACCGGTTTATTGAGGACAGTTTTCTAGGGCAAGGTCAATGATGTACCTGTTCAAACCAGTGGGGCACACTATAACCACTGTTATAGCGTTTATAACATAGGGAATGCAATTAAAGGACATCATAAATGATGAGGAATAAGAATTGAATGGAACTTCGCTAAATGTAGCACATACCCATAACAAAGCAATGGTAACATGGACTATGCCTGTGTTCCATAATTCTAGATGCATTTTTAAAAACATTAAACAATGCATTTTTAATCACCCTGTCACTCTCTTGTAAAAGGAGTAATTAATATAGCAGTAACAAATCCAAAAATGCAGCTGTTTAGGGATTTAACTGTAACATACATCTTAATTACATATATGAGCCATACACATTCCCTTTCGCACTTTCATTTACTTTTGTTACCCCTGGAAATGTGTTAAAAGTGGTGGTAAACCCACTTTGCAGGTTCAATTGAAATTATTGTAAGATACTGAATATAAAAACAACCAGTCACTAACAAAACTTACATTTTATGGCATTTGGCTTAAGTAATTAGTTTGTTTTTTCATGCTCAATTTTATATATAAAAAGTAAATAAAAAAAAAACTATTTTATATATATATTTTTATTTATTTATTTTTTCTTCAGCACTCTGTATTTCCCACATTTTTTTTATTAAATACACTGCAACTCTCAATTCTGTATAACCAGGACAGCAACCACAGGCTGAGAGTTTTGCAGGTAGGTTTCTACCAACCTTTGGTTTGTTAGTGTAGGAATCAAAGACAGAGTTCTCTATCACCCAAAAGGACCTTTAACTTTAAAGGACCACTCTAGGCACCCAGACCACTTCAGCTTAATGAAGTGGTCTGGGTGCCAGGTCCCTCTAGGATTAACCCCTTTTTTTTTATAAACATAGCAGTTTCAGAGAAACTGCTATGTTTATTAATGGGTTAATCCAGCCTCCAAATCCTCTAGTGGCTGTCTCATTGACAGCCGCTAGAGGCGCTTGCGTGCTTCTCACTGTGAAAATCACAGTGAGAACACGCAAGCGTCCATAGGAAAGCATTGTAAATGCTTTCCTATGAGACCGGCTGAATGCGCGCGCAGCTCCTGCCGCGCGTGCGCATTCAGCCGAAGGGGAGGAGAGGAGGCGGAGAGGAGGAGGAGAGCTCCCCGCCCGGCGCTGGAATAAAGGTAGGTTTTAACCCTTTCCTCTCCCCAGAGGAACCCTCAGGGCACTATAGTGCCAGGAAAATGAGTATGTTAGTGGTCCTTTAATGTCTTTTTGGATTTTACAGTCTTTCATTAGTTGGATGCTTGCTGCTGAGAAATAGCACTACATTACAAAATCCACTTCCCTGCGTTTTAACACCTACACACAAAAAACTACAGTACACACAAATACACCACTGCATTCAAACATCAGCTATATACAGAAATACACAAACATTCACACACATTTCCAGGCTGGCCCCTTCAGTGGACAGATTTACCCATAATAAGTGTCGCCAATGACGCAAGTTGCGTCATTCCTCCCAATTTTGAGAGGTATAAATGAATCAAACTGCAACAATGAAATCCACTGAAAATAACAGGAATGTGTTTTAGTTTTATACGATTACCATTTAGATGTTAGTGAATACTGTAATCCACAGAGGAATTTTAACAGACAATGTAGGGAATTGAGCAAAATTTTATTTTACTTTTGCAAAGTCAGTGTTTAGGGAACAGGCCATCCAGGGTAAAGTAAGAATTCATTGTGCAGTTCACGGAGTATTAAGAGTTAAAAGATCGCAAACTAGTAGCAGAAGATCTGTTTCGCTGCCAAATCTCTAGAGAAAAAAAAAAAAAAATGCACAAAAAACATGAAAAGAATGTCCAGCCTTAGAGCTGCTGTCAGTGTAATTCTTTCAGTCAGGACTAGCATTCTAGATTACCATGGGGAGAAAAAGGTCAAAGACGAGAGAACTAAAACATTAGGTGTAAAAAATTTTTTTTAAAAATTCTGGTAGCAACCTTAAGTGCCGTTCTGGGTGAATGATACTATATTCTTGTCACGAAAAAAAAAATGTTGAGTAAAATTTGAGCAAGTGAGAAAGCAATGTTTTAATAAAGGAGTTATAGAGACATGGATTAGTCTCCAAGGAGAAGAGATTTTTACAAATGATATACGACTCACAAGGATCTTTTTATATTGCATATTACAATGAGTGTAGATCCTTTGACTATAAAACAAATAAAAAAAAATTAGTCTGCATTGTTAGAATGTAATTATTTTTTGCTGTTGGTGGTTTGTAATTGTTATTAAAAATAATTTGCATGACAAGCCTGTTTAACAACAGATGCCCTTCAAGCAATCCATACTTGAAGGATTAGTCTGCTTTTTTTTTTTAATTTTTAATTTTTTATCCTTTCTTGCTTTATATCTTATTGCGCAGTTATTTACTATGCTACAAATTATACGGAATAAAAATTCAAATAGCAAAATGTACGCTAAAATAGTCAAGCTGAGTTGGAAAATTTTTCGAGATCAGCTATATTGACCTCAATTTTGCTATACAGATTTTAATTCGGGACAATTGAGAATTTAATGAATAACCCTGTTAGACTATAAAAAGGCTCACAAATCGATAAGTACTCCTAAAAAAAACCCTAAAAAAAACAAACTCTGCCTTTCATGACCATTGCGTATTAGTTACGTTAATTGACATTTTTAGACTTTAATTATTTTGCAGCCAGAGGCACCAACAGGCCCATCCTTAATTGCTGATCTACTTAGAAAAGGGCTTCACAGGCAGAAAAGTGGAGGATTAGAAGACAGAGGACCAGTTTTTGACAGTAAACAAGGAGATGATGGGTCAAACAGTCATTGTCTCCTGACCTAATGGAAGCTGCTTGGAATTCCAATCCATCAGCTCACAGGGCCGTGTTATAAACAACATAGGATACTATTACTCCTGTAAATGTATAGCTAGATAGCTACAGGCAGCGTATGAGCACCTGACTGTGCTCCGATCCCGTGCTAACATTCCCAGACAGCCAGTTGCATTCTCTGATTGTGTGTTCTGCTAATAAAATCACTGCGGCTCCAGCAAAACCGCAGGGACCTTAAAAGCAGGAAGTCCTCTCAAGACTTACTGGGTGCAGCTGTATAGGCCCACAACTACAGCATCCAGAAACACTTTTTAGCTACTTGCTTTGTGCATGTACTAAAGCAGAGATGTGCCACAACAGTCAAGCAGAGGCCTCTTTGCTGGCATATGAATCAGAGGTTTGCCACGCTACCTTACTCTGGGGGATGGCACTACTGTAAGGTGGCACATGCAGCCACTTTAGGGCACCCAGGCAGGGTGGTGCAAGGGGGTACAGTAACAGGGGAATGCAAGGGGGCACAAGGGGGTGCGGTGCAAGAGGCAGCTAATGTTAAATTTAAAAACTGATGCAGACCATATTAATTACTCGCTTGTGGTTTCAGCGCTCACCAAGGGAGTAGTAAGCGCAGTCTCAGAGATTCCAAACTTGTGTTCAAAATTCCTCACTGGTCACCACACCAGAAGGAAAAATGTATATGGTCTGCTCCATAACTTAAAATAAACAAACACCCCACATATCACACACAGCCTGACCATAATGTTCATGTTTTATTGCAGTGCTGGCACGGTGGCACCTTGAGAGAACTAAGTTAGTATCCTGCTGAAATTTGGGCACGCAGGTTCAAAAAGGTTCGCTATCACTACACTTAAGTAAGACATATTCTTTCCAGTACACAACGTAAGGCGTTTTCCTATATTATCCTATAATCATAGATCTTAACCTTGGTCCTAGTCTACTGGATGCAACAAGCATCTCATACTAGTAACTAGTGATAGTATTTATTACATTTTAAGCACCTAGTTGATCACTGTTTTCTGTGTAACAGAGTCTGAGTGCCTAATGCCCAACTTTAGCTGTGGACCTGAACCTGCTACAGCGTCCATCCCTTCTCCTGCCACCAAAGACTTCCAGGACCTACCACAGGTATCTGTGCCTCAGTGCTACTCAAATACCAGTAGTAGTGTCTTACAGACAGTTATCACCAGTATAGTACCTCTGGTACATGAGGTATGTACTTCATTATGTATTACACCTAATTCTATGTAGAAGCTGCAACTAACTGAAATAACTCTCTAGTAGGAATGAGTTGATGTCCTAACATTACACTAGTCATTTTTTTTAGATGCAATACAGTTTTCCAATAGTTGGTGGGAAGGTAAATCCATTATGTGTCTGTTTCTAAATACTAAGTAAAGCCAAATAGAATCCCCTGAGTCTTCTGAAGAATTTACATCCCTTTGCCATCATCAGGCTCAGCAAAGGGATGTTTTTGTACGTAATCTCATTTGTAAATAGTGTACCAGTGGAATCTATTCCTGTGTAAGCAAATGGTGCTTGTAAGGCCGTTACTGACCTGTGAAGGTTATCAGCTGCTATATCACTTGATACAGTGGGTTTTGTTTTTTTACTTTGTTCCTTATCTTGAATCAAACGATCACAAGTGTGTTCTGTGCTTCTTGTGTTTGTGATGGTCTAAGACTGAATTGAAATATCCTGGATTTACTGTGAAGATTACGACCATTTATTCCATAAAGCAAATTGCCCCAGCAAATATATGTCCCAGGACCTAAACCTATGCAGAGAGCGTTTCAGCAGTGCTCTGTGCATGGCCTGCTTGAGGGGGTAGGCCATCAGTAAGCCTGGCTACCCTATTTTGCTGGAGAACCCATTTTGACATTTTGCATGCCTATTCCTGTTGTGGGACCAACTTAAGGGATAAAACAATGTAAAACGGTTAAACCCCTCAATATAAGACGGTGCCCAGACTCCTGCTCCCACAACAATCTCAATAGTTGAAGCTGTTACAGGGGTGGGAGTGTTCTTTTAGGTGAGTAACAATATTAACTGTTTTCCTTTAAGGGGTAAATTACAACCTATAGTAATTATCAAGACGTTAACAGCTAACGGTGTTGAAGCTACCACCATTCTGATACTTTTCTACAACACTTTTACAATTAACAGTTCTGTAAAGGAGCCAATACCTTAAATTAAACAGTTCTGCTCATTCTATTTCAATTCTTTTGGAGCAGAGAGTTAATTACACATTACCAGAACCAAAGGACACTTTGCAAATTCAACACCTAAAGGGACTTGATAGAACACAGAAAACACTTTTTTTAACAATTAAAGGGACAATATAGTCACCAAAACAACTTTAGCTTAATTAAGTCGTTTTGGTGAATAGAGCATACCTCTGCAGTCTCACTGCTCAATTCTCTGCCATTTAGGAGTTAAATCAAATTGTTTATGCACCCTAGTCACACCTCCCTGCATGTGACTTGCACAGCCTTCCTAAACACTTCCTGTAAAGAGTCATCTAATATGTATCCTTCCTTTATTACAAATTCTGTTTAATTTTGATTTTCTTATCTCCTGCTCTGTTAATAGCTTGCTAGACCCTGCAAGATCATCCTATAGGTGATTAAAGTTCAATTTACAGAGCAAGAGATACAATCTTTTACAGTAAGTTACATCTGATTGAAAGTGAAACCATTTTTTTTTTTCATGCAGATTGTGTCAGTCAGAGCTGGGAGAGGTGTGGCAAGTGCTGCATAAGCAGAAACAAACTGTTTTAACCCATAAATGGCAATGAATTGAGCAGTGAAAATTTAGTGGCATAATCCATACACTAAAACTGCTTCATTAAGCTAAATTTGTTTTGGTGACCATAGTGTCCCTTTAAATGGTTACTTCAAGCAACGTAACTACTACAGCCCACAGTAGTTATCATGCCAGGAGTACCCTAACCCTGTATTCCGGCAATGGGACTACCTTTCTGCAGTAGTTTGCCTTCTTACCTGGTCCCACTCTTGGCGAGTGACAACAACTGGCTTCGGTAAAGCTTCAGCAACTGGAAGTCGAGACCCACCTGCCATTCCTTTGCACAGAAAATTGCAATAATTGTCTGTGAGCTGTCACCTGACGCTCTCAGCTCACAGACAAATATTGCAATTCTGTGAAAAGGAATAAGCACAGAATTGATATTAGTCAGCCCGTGATGGCTAATGATGCCCCAATGATGCTGGTATTTCAAAATGAAACATTACACATACAGATTTGATGCACCATGACCACCTCAAAACACTGAAGTGGTTACGGTGCTTTGGATAGCTCTTTAACCAGTACCCTGATATATTTCCAACTACCATCGCGAACACTTTCCCTTTAGTGATGACATGACAATGAAACCAAACTTATACCAACAACTCTTTGTTAAATTAACGTACAAAACTCGGTAACAACAAAACACACATGTGACTGGGTAAAGAAACACCCATATCAATGTCTATTTGGAACACAACAACTTAATGACACACGTCACCTATTATCATTACCACTGCACTAATAAAAGGGGTCAAACAGGCAGGCCAGATTATTCCAAGATGAATCCATGTTGTTTGTCATTAACCTCATGGACTTGGAGTATCAATCTAGAGATCACATCATTAACAACGGTGACTGGAGTTAAACAAGTTTTAAATTAACACTATAGTGTTAGGAATACAAACTTGTATTCCTGAAGCCATAGTGCCTTAGTTAGATTAATGTTAGGTTGTCCAACACCCCTCACTTTTTTGTTTTAGTATAAAACGGGAAAAAAAGTACTACTACTTTATATAAAACTGCAATGTTTTACATTGCAGAAGTAAAAAGACAGGGCCTTTGCACCCAAACCACTTCATAGAGTGGTCCTTTAACATCAATCGCAATTTCTAGCTATGACTTTATTACCACCAGAAACCGATTCCAAGATTTTTAGATAGTGATTGCGTTTAAAACATTCAAACTATACCAGACTAAAGATGGAAAACCTTATTGATCGGTTACTGTCTATGTACAGTCATTGTACAGCGCTGTGGAATCTGTTGACTCTTTATAAATAATAATAAGAATATGTATTGTGACATATCCCTTATGCAAGGTAAAAAAAAGCAGATTTGTTCACAAACATTAACTTATTTTTACACAATGTAACGGTGACATTTAAAGCATGCGTTTATGGAACGCGTTGGGTGGTCATAGGGAAGCCCAGACACCAATTAACACATCTATGTTCTATAATTAAATGCTTGGCTTGGCTTTCTTACATTGGTGTTACATATATAGTAATGACAACATGTGAGTTGACATTGTGGTGTTAATATCACATGGATTGTTTAATTAACCCTTACTACTCAAGATTGCCCAATATAACTTTTAAGGACACTTGTAAGCTTTTTAAGGACAGAACAGATGTTCTTTTTCATGATTTCCTACAGCCTTAATTAAAAGGCTCTTGTAAGGATAGGGACTAAGACTTTGAAGTGGGATTGCCCAAATTAAGTATATGATAAAGTTTCTCCTGTTAAACAGACAGTTAAGCACATATTAATAGTAGGCAGTCTTGGAATACATATTGTTTTGTAAGCTTGTAAATCAGTAACATTATAAGAAAAAAAATGTTTAGTACAATAATAATTATTATAAAATACAGTAGTTCTACTCACATCCTAGGGCCTCAATGTATTCAGATCATCCACTAACAAAGGACCCCTATGGTGGCAGAAGCATGTGCTAATCTTCATTTTCTTACACTGGATCATAGTTACTACTGCTTAATGTACTTAATTAGACTCATCTACAATTCACAAGGCACTCTTAAAGTACAACTCCAAGCAGCATAAACACTACAGCCCACTGCAGTAGTTATGGTGCCCTGGCACCCATCCAGAGTAATTTGCTAAACAGTTAAGAAATAAATACCTAAGGAGGGCTGTGTGGGGCTGCTTTTATTGGCTGAGAGTGTCAGCTAAAAGCTCTCAGCCCTGTACCGAGCATTCCTTAGCTCAAGAGAGACATTGGCTTCTCTTGCAGGGCCTCCACGGGATCCAGGTAAATTGTCAGATCATTCTTATATGGTTTGGCAAATTACTCTGGGACAGCGTCAGGGCACTCTTGGATCCATAAACACTACAAGCGGGCTTAACAGGGCAACTGTGTGTGGAGGGTAGTGAGCTGAGAACTGACAGTTTTATTTATGTGCACAAAAACTTAAGTTGTTATCATTATTATTAAAAAACGGCCAACAAATTCTGCAGCGCTGTACAATGGATTATGTCAGAGAGATTGTGGATCATGGCCATCAATTTGCCTTAGAAGTGAATTAGAGACACTAGTGCATATACAGAAAAGCCCAGACCAAGCCTGACACTACACTGGGCTTTAAAGATTAAAGGATCATTATAGTGTCAGGAAAACAAAGCCGTTTTCCTGGCACTATAGTGCCCTAAGGTTGCCCCCACCCTCAGGGTCCCCCTCCCATGACGCTGAAACCGTATCAAGGCATTTGATACGGTTCCTCACAATAGGTTAGTCTTTATACTAAAAGAAATTGGTCTAGATTAATATTCTTGTTCTTGGGTAGAACATTGGCTTAAGGATAGAGTACAATGAGTTGTCATTAATGGTAAATTTTCAAGCTGGACAAAAGTGGTAAGTGGTGTCCCTCAGGGTTCTCTTTTGGGACTGCTTCTATTTAACATATTTATAAATGATCTTGAAATGGGCATTGAAAGCCATGAATTAGTGTTTGCAGATGACACAAAACTTTGTAAAGTAATAAAATGTGAGCAGGATATTGCCTTGCTGCAGAGGGATTTGGATAGATTGGGGGACTGGGCACTAAAATGGCAGATGAAATTTAACGTAGAGAAATGCAAAGTTATGCACTTCGGGGTTAAGAATGCACAAGCAATTTACACCCTAAATGGTAGTGAACTAGGGATAACCACACACGAGAAGGATTTGGGAATTGTTATAGACAACAAATTAGGCAGCAATATGCAATGTCAATCTGCCGTTGCTAAGGCCAGTAAGGTTTTGTCATATATAAATAGGGGCATAAATTCTCGAGATGAAAATATAATTTTGCCTCTTTATAAATCGCTGGTAAGATCACACCTTGAATATGCTGTGCAAATTTGGGCACCTGTTCTAAAGAAAGATATCATGGCACTAGAAAAAGTGCAGAGACGAGCTACAAAATTGATAAAAGGAATGGCGCATTTTAGTTATGAAGAAAGGTTAAAAAAACCGCGCCTGAGAGAGGATATGATAACATTATACAAATATATTCGGGGCCAGTACAAACCATTATCTGGAAATCTATTCATAAACATGGCCATACATAGGACACGAGGTCACACATTTAGGCTTGAAGAAAGGAGATTTCTTCTAAGGCAAAGAAAAGGGTTTTTTTACAGTAAGAGCAATAAGGATATGGAATTCTTTGCCTGAAGAGGTGGTTTTGTCAGAGTCTATACAGATGTATAAACTGCAATTGGATAAATACTTGCAAAAACATAACATACAAGGACATAATTTCTAATTAGTGGGGTAATAGCTGCTTGATCCAAAGAGACATCTGACTGCTATTTTGGTGTCAAGAAGGAATTTTTTCCTAGTTTGTTGCAAAATTGGAAGCGCTTCAGACTGGGTTTTTTGCCTTCTTTTGGATCAACAGCAAAAACATATGTGAGGAAGGCTGAACTTGATGGGCGCAAGTCTCTTTTCAGCTATGTAACTATGAACTAACCTCTTCAGCAGCTTACCTTTATCCAGCGCCGGTCTCCCTCAGCGCTAATGACCTCTCCTCCCCCACCGATGTCAGGTTCTGAGTGGAGCGCATTTAAACTGTCTATAGGAAAGCATTTCTCAATGCTTTCCTATGGACGTTCTGCACGTTGGATGCGAATTTTACATCCAGCATCGCAGATGCGCCTCTTGCGGCTGTCAGGAAGACAGCCACTAGACGTTGGATTAACCCTGCTATGTAAACATAGCAGTTTCTGTGAAATTGCTATGTTTACATGTGAAGGGTTAAAACCTGAGGGACCTGGCACCCAGACCACTTCATTGAGCTGAAGTGATCTGGGTGACTATAGTGTCCCTTTAAGGGGCATAGAGAGCCCTTTTAAAGGGACACTATAGGCAATGGGACACAATCTTTTCATTGCAGGCTTTAAATTCCTCAAGTGCATTTTGTTGCGCATGCACATTAGCCTCCCAATGCTTTCCTATGGGAAAACATTGTATTGAATGAGATCATCGATCTTGATAATCACAGCCAAGGAGTCAGAGACCAGCTCTGCGAGGGAGAAAAGATAAATAAAATACCAATTTTGCTCCCTGCAGTTGAGGAGCAGTCACCTAAATGATCAACAGGGCACTATAGTGTTTGGATTACACATTTGTACGTCTAACACTAGTGTTCCTAGTACAATACAAGCTTACAAAACAATATGTATACCAAGACTGCCTACTATTAATATGCGCCTAAATGTCTGTTTAACAGGAGGAACTTTATCGTATGCTTAAACTACTTTGAACTATGTCTAATTAGGATTTAAAAAATGCAACTCCACAAGTCAATAGTGGAAAGCTAAAAACCAAAATAGTCGTAGGAGGAAACATCACAAACCAGTTAATCCAAGCGAATCCTACCTGCATTCAATTCAATGTTTATTTTCAATATTACAAAAGTAATGATGGAATAACTTACAAAGAGGAATACCAAACCCACCCCATTCAGCCATCCCTGGTGTGCAATTCTAAAAGAATGTAAAGTGAGAACTGTTCATTGTTGTTTTAACCCATTTAAACAAAGGGCATAATCAGGCACAGGGCTTAACTAAACAAGTAAGAATGGTTGCTAATGATCTGTTGGAAAAAGACACATGGGGTATTTTATACCTTTCAAACTAGAAAAAGTACACACAGTGTAGGAACATGAATGACTGATGGGCAACAAGATGCTGGTAATGCATTGCTTTTATTGAGGAAATCTTTGGAATGTTAACCCTTTTGTACAGACTGCTAAGGTGTTAACCCTTTGAGGTTCTGGAGTGTCATGTCAAGCAATTTATCTAGTAACAAAGATATATATGAAGTTTGTAGCAACCTACCCATTGTTGATAATCCATCTATACCGTCAACTGGTAGAAACGATTATTAAAAGCTTTTTTGGGATAAGACTACATTTTTTATTTTTTTACAAATCCTGGAACATTTTTGCCTGCATTGCAAAATACAGTGACATTTCAGAAGTGATCTCCATACGCAATTCACACTTATAAATGTATCTTTTATTTTTATATACTTATAAAATTCTTTATCGGGAAGAATACATTAATATTTGTTATGTACGTTTTTTTTATGTGTACAAAAATGGCTGTCTGCCAGTAAGCAGTGCTACTTTACAATGCTAATATATATATGCTGATGACTTGAAATCTGGATCTGGACCCAAAACTGAGTCCTAGTTCTATTTTAGAACATTCCCATTGGCTGAAATAAGCACATCATATTTGTCATCTCTCAGACAGCTGCCCACATTACATTGTGCCACTATGCTAGCTAGCCACATCATTGTGACCGTGATAACAGCATCATGAGTGTGATTTGAAAAATGTATTGAGGTATCCTTTATAGCACACTTAAAACAAATATTACAGAACCAGTTTGACAGCTAAAGACAGCTAAAAAACATATATACAGAGTGTCCCAAAATAATGTTTACACTTTTTGAATGTTTTTAACTCAAACATAAATAACAGGAAGCATGACCTTTTTTATGTCATATACCTTAACGTTAAAGGTGTTCAAATTGGCAACATTACATCGCCATAGAACAGATTAACAAACATAGTCCAAGCAAACATTATGTAAACATTATTTTTGGGGAGGGAGGGAGGGAATGAAAGAGAAAGAGAGAAAGAGAGAGAGAGAGAGAGAGAGAGAGAGAGAGAGAGAGAGAGCGCACATGTATATATCTTTATGAGAGATACAAATCACTGTTACTGAATAAATAAGATATATAAAAAACACATACTGTAATACCATACACGCAGTATTAGTTTTGACCACAATCCCTATGATCCTCACAGACTTGCTGAGGGTAACCATAACGTTATCCTAACTGTAGCTGGAGGTCTACCTGTTGCCCAAGTATGCACTGAAGAATCAGAATGGTGGATTATGAAATGGTAGGCAACCTTTGACACTCCAGATGTTGTGGAACTTCATCTCCCCTGATGCTTTGCCAGCATGATGGCTTTTCAGAGCATTCTGGGAGATTTAGTCCACTACATCTGGAGTGCAGAACGTTGAAACTATTATACATTGTATGGCATCAGTGTATATGTTATCTGCTCTTAATTCACTTACCTGCCCAGCTCCTTCCCCACCAGCCGGTAGTTATCAGAGAATGGATCTGTCCTGAGCAGGGTCTTTGTATGGGTGATAAGGGTGCTTGTATCCATTGGTCCAATTTATGTCGTCCTAAATCCAATTCTATTTTTTAAGTGGATTTACACAATCTGGATTTTAAGATAAATGCCGTCTACGAAGCATGCATTCTCTAAGAAAAAAAAAAAAATGCAAATGTCCACAAAAGTGTCCAAATTGTAAAAATCAGTTTACATTGGAAGATATATAGTTTTTCCAATGTAACATGATGGAAAACACAAAAAAATAAATAAAAATCTTGCAGATCTTTATTTAAGGTCCTTGTGATCAGTTCAAAAACTTCTGCAACGTCCTCTCAGTGGATTAGCGAAATAAATAAGAATTAGAATGCAGCAGACGAAATAAACTAGGTTTAGAATGCAGGGGATTTCCTGTGATATACTGGCCAGGTTCTGCAGTAAGCAGTGAGTCCTTCACCTCAGATCCCCAGAAGCTGGAGTCTCAGCGTGTGTGTCTGCAACAGCAAAGGAACTCTGTGAAATAGATCCGATCGCGCACATCTGCACAGACTGGCTGGGCTGAGCTACCTCCCAGGCACGAGGCTGGCTGGCAGAAACCAATCTGTGAGCGCAGCGCAGCGCCTCCTACTGGATGCTATGAGAACGCTAGACGGAAGGTGCTGTCTCATAATAAAAAACTGCACGTTGGAGGTTTCTAAGCACAATTAGTTCACTGCAGCAGTCTGAGTTGCTTATCCACTAAATGGTAACTTGAAAAACAGAGTTGGATATATCAGCACTTTTATTTCCCAAGTTGTGCATTTGTTAGTTTCAGTTTTCAGTTCACTACAATATAAACACTTAAAGGACCACTAATATCACCTCAATGAAGTGGTCTGGGTGCAATGACACTGTAGTTTTATCCCTATTTTAATTCTAGAAACTGGTATTTTTATAAACTGTGGTATTTATATAGCAGTGTTAAACACACCTCTAGTGGCTGTCTTCCTGTCAGCTACTAAAAGAGCTTTCTCTACAATGATCAAGTCATGGTCAAATCTCAGTCGTGTGCGTGTAGCACATAGGAAAGCATTGAGTATCTACTCCAAACGGGTGAACCTAAAACCAATCATGGACTAGGACACTATAGAGTTAGGAATACAGGTTTGAATTCCTAGTGCTATAATGTTTCCTTAAAAGATTACTCCATGCATCATGACCACTTTAATATTTAGAAGTTGTTATGGTGCAAGGAGTCCGTATGTGCATAGTTTCAGTATGATATGCTGCACATACTGATATAGATGTTTGATCTAGCTGCCAGAGGGGTAATCCCACCTACAGCATTTGTGATCCATTCAGTCCGGAACTCTGCTCAAGCTTGACGAATAAGAATTTTGTGCACAAAATATGTCCTTTGCAAACACACATAGCATGCTGGAAACGGGCATATAGAGTTCCCAATGCAGATACTGTCTGTTCCTCCTTCCTGTCTCTGTTCCTACTGCTGTCCCTCCCTCTTGCCCAGCCCAGAGCGAGTTCAACTGCCGCAAAGGTCCTTTAGGTCCAATGATACATCTTCACCTGTGTATCTCGTAATTCCTCTTTTGAATTTCTTAACCCCTTTAGTGTTTCATATCTACTCTTAGGCACCCAGATCACTTCAGTTTAGGTGCCTTAACCATGCAAAGCTAATTATTGCAGTTTTTAAGAACTGCAATAATTAGTTTGGTGGGTTAACTCTACCTCTAGTGGCTGTCTGCTAGACAGCCACTAGAGAAACTTCCGGGCCGCTAGGCAACTTTTGGTCGCCTAACTGACGCTGGACGTCCTCCCGCTATGCATGGGGACGTCCAGCGTCACCCAAAACCCCATAGGAAAGCACTGTATAATGCTTTCCTATGGGGAAATCCTAATGCGAGCATGGCCATTGACACGCAGGTGCATTAGGTCTCTCCGGTCGGAAAAATTCGTTTTCCAGGCACTATGATTTCCATTTAAATGCCTTACCCTTTTTGCCTGTTTGTGTGTGTGTGTGTGTTAAACCTCTTTTACTGTATGATATCCCCCCTTTAGTATGTCTTATACATCATTGTGTATCTCTTACTTTCCCACCAGTCCCTTTCTGTGTCACTGTGCTTTATTGTGGGGGGTAGGGCGGTATTGTGGGAGATAGGGACAGTAATGTGGCATGAGCGACGATTCGCAACCCTAAAAGACATGAGGCGCTACAATTATTTGAAGATTAGGGGAACATCAGAAAATATATCAGCTGCAGAGCTTCCACATTTCCTGAGGCGTATGCTTGTGGCCTTACTGTCACCTAAATAGGCCATGTTCGTCATGTTTAACTATTACCAAGCCACCAAAGGTCCCAGATGCGAGAGCCTTGGTGGTGTCCTTTTAAACCAGAAGAGACAAATCGGCAGTCCAGGCCACCCTCAAGGGGACATCTCCTTGCGCTTTTGAGAATATGGAGCTAACCTTTTATGCGGATCTCTCCAGTGCCACACTCGTGTGGTGGAGATCCCTCCACCCCTTTACAGCGCTACTTGGAGATCATGGTATCTGCTATAGATGGCTCCTATCCTGATCTCTTCTGGTCCTGCATGGGGACTCTTCATATCCAGTTCAAGGTTTACAAGGAGCGGTGGCATTCCTGGAGAACCTTGCCTCCCACTGGACTCTCTGTGGCAGACTGGGCCAGGACAGGATACCAGAAACTGTCCATAGATGGGATCCAGAGAATACCACTCCATTTATTCCTCAACTAGCCTATTCAGACGCCTTTGCTGTGGCTACTACCTGAGTCTACACATTAATTAGCCAAGAATGTTTTGATATGTTAAGATTGTAGATAGTTTGTTTTAATTCCATACGCTTAATATTTTTGTTTTATTTAAATATGCTGTGTACCCTGTTTTCAGACAGTTCGGTGCAATGACCTACACCCACCCCCCCAAATCCACTTATGCATGGATACTATGACCTTGAGGCGTAATTTTCTTATGTCTCTCAGCCTTCTTGCTATGGCTTATAAATTCCCTTTTTTGGTCCATGACAAGCAGGAGGCCTGTGGTTAAGTTTCTCTTTCTGCATTTTCCCACTTAATTTTAATATCCCCAGTATGCTGGCTCTCAAGTCTATGACACATTAGTTGTGTCTTTCTTTATTTTATATGTCAAGCTATAGTGTGCCAACTCTAGCCTTATATTATTATTTTAACCGCCAGCAGCTGGCACGTCAATATTAATAATTGTATAGCTTCATCATACATACAAAAATCCTCAGTGGAATTGTTTCTACTGTATATTGTGTTCTATTATTAATTGTGTACCTAATGCTGCATAACTCAAATGTCAGTATTTGTACTTCAAACACTTCTCACATCAGTGAGTTGGGTGTAAATACAAGAATAACAATTTGAAAAAAAACAATGCACACATAAACCATCTTTTTTAAATCTTTAAAACATGTTGGAACCTATTGAAGTACAGTTACGAATATCAAATAAACAAAGAGAGACACGTTTGTTTTAAGAGGCATAACGAATGTTAATTACACAGCATAAAGGTAATTTGATGGCATATTGTTAAAGGGACACTATAGGCACCCAGACCAGACACAAACTGGCCCTTGTAAGTTTAACCCTGCAATAGTAATTATTGCACTTGTTGAGAAACTGCAATAATTACTATCCAGGGTTACCTCCACTTCTAGTGGCTGTCTACCAGACAGCCACTAGAGGGAATTCCGGGTCGTTAGGTGACTTTTGGTTGCCTAACTGACACTGAATATCCTCACGCTATGCATGAGAACATGCAGTATCACCCAAAACCCCGTAGGAAAACATTATATAATGCTATGGGGCTATGAGGCTGTCCCAATGCGCTCGCCACGCATGCGCATTAGGTTTCCGGCAAGAAGTCAAGACGGATCCTAACTTGGATTCAGGTAAGTGACAAAGGGGAGCGAAGGGGACACTATAGGGAGCTATACAATTTTATGTTCCTAGCCTACAGTTTCCCTTTAAGCTATATATTATAACATAGATAGTACTACTACTATTTACATTTTCACACCATCACTACTGAGTACTTCACTCAGTCATCCTAACCTATTATCTCAATCTACTTTAAATTTTTCAATTGATAGTCTCTCTTTCCTCTTTCTGCACATCTTGCTTTTTGCTTTACCCTGCACAGTCTTATCTTTCTCCAAAGATGATCAATTCACTATTAACCATAGCTCTAAAAATATACTTCTAATAATATTTTACAAAGTGCTGCTGATCTAAGACTGCAGGGGCTCATTTACTAAGGAATCTCATATTTCATTACTCAAACCACTGAGTGAACTCTAAAAATAAGCCCTTACCTTCCATGCTCTTGAATGTATGCTTGTATAAATGGAATGGGTGTTGTCCATAATATTTCCCATAAAAAAAAATAAACAGCCATAAAATAAAACTATTTTAGAGTTAAATTTACCCAGCATAGCCAAAGGATGCCCACAAATCCTCAGACTGCCCGTGAAATTACCTCCTATTACAGTGAAACCCCTTATACAACGAGGACAACAATAACCACCTATTATACTCCTTGCATAGACTTCAGTGCAAGAAGATTGTTTGTATCCGTTCAGTGTGTTATAGCCAGGACTCTACACAGGTAGGGATTGCCAATCACTGCCAATGATAGCCTGCCCACCTCCCTCTCCTCCTGCGTGGTCTTGCTGTCACTGCTAGAGTACAAATGGGTTAGGAATAAAAAAAAAAAACGTTATTCTTAACACATAAGTGCCCTTGTCCTTGGTTGTATAGGTACTTCCCCATGTGTGCATTAAATAAAATAAAGGGTTTTATGTACCTTTTTCCATGGAGAAGGCATCGCTTCGTCCACTGTTGGTCCAACCCAATGCTCCTAATAGAAACGCCATGCACACATCCCAACTTCTCCATAGAAAAGCGTTAAATCAGTGCTTTCCGAGTAAGAATGCTCCCAGAGTCCTCCTGGCACCATAACAACTTAATTTTAGTGAAGTTGTTTTGGTGCCTCACGTGTTCTTTTACTAGTTAAATGCAGTTTGGCTGTATAGTAAAAGAGAGTTAGTAGTGGAGGTGGGGAGTGGCAGCCAACGAACTTCTGGTAAGAAATAAAACTTTTCATAACTGGTTGGACTACTTACAATGGGGAGAAGGGGGTGTAAGCGAGCTGTAGTGGTTATGGTGCTTGGAGTGTTTCTTTATGGTGTGACCTCACTAAACTGTAAATTGAGTTACACTGAAACTGCATTGCAGGTTAGATCGTATTGGTTATTTCTAGATTCAAAAGAATGGCTTAAATGTTGTGTGTACTGGCCATTATAAAGCTCTTACATTTCACCGTCTAGTGAATAAACTTCTTATAGTTTTAGCTAGAAATACTGTTCACAAAAAAAATGTAGGTATCAAATAATCAGAGATAACAGTGCACTATTTGCAAGAAAAAAAAAAAGTAGAGCACTGGCGCAGTGTGTTTCTAACTTTATACCAGAATATACAAAATTTGAAACACTGAATGGAAT